GATTACGTCCGTCTCATCAAATATGCCCAGTCTCTTTTCCAGTGCAAACAGCTTAAGCGCGCTGCTCTCGGTCGCATGGCTACCATTTGCCGACGCCTTAAAGACCCGCTCGTTTATTTGGAACAAGTTAGACAACATTTGGGTCGTCTACCCTCTATCGACCCTAACACTCGAACACTCTTGATTTGCGGATACCCCAATGTCGGAAAGTCCAGTTTTTTGCGTAGCATCAGTCGCGCGGATGTTGATGTTCAGCCCTATGCTTTCACAACAAAGAGTTTGTTTGTCGGTCACTTCGACTACAAGTACCTCCGGTTCCAAGCCATCGATACGCCCGGAATTCTCGACCACCCTCTGGAGGAGATGAACACCATTGAAATGCAGTCGATCACTGCCATCGCTCATTTGCGGTCCGCTGTTATGTACTTTATGGACCTATCGGAGCAGTGCGGCTACTCCGTTTCGGACCAGATTAAGCTGTTCCACAATATCCGTCCTTTGTTCGCGAATAAGATTGTCTTTGTTGTGGTGAACAAGATCGACGTTCGACGACCGGAAGATCTTGAGCCTGAGGTTCAAGAGGAGATGCAGAATATGCTCAAGGCAGACGATGTTGAGCTTCTCCAGCTCTCTTGCACTACCACTGAGGGTGTAACCAACGTGAAGAACGCCGCTTGCGATAAGTTGCTAGCGGAGAGAGTTGCCCAGAAGCTCAAGTCTGGATCCAACAGCTCCGGTACCCCTGGTGGAAGACTTGGCGATGTTCTCGCGCGTATCCACGTTGCACAGCCCATGGGTGGAGCGCAGCTCGAAACATTCATTCCCGATGCTGTCAAGGATCTTAAGAAATACGACAAGAACGACCCAAACCGGAGGAAGCTGGAGCGGGATATCGAGGAGGAGAACGGCGGGGCTGGTGTTTACAACGTCGATCTCAAGAAGAACTACTTGCTTGCAAACGACGAATGGAAGCACGACAAGATTCCCGAGCTATGGAACGGCAAGAACATTTACGATTACGTGGACCCCGACATCGAGGCCAAGTTAGCTGCCCTAGAGGAAGAGGAAGAGAAGCTCGAGGCAGACGGTCACTACGATTCGGACGAGAGCGTAGAGGATGCCGAAGATGCCGACATTCGCATGAAGGCGGATCTGATCCGCGAAAAGCGTACTTTGATGCGCAACGAGGCAAAGATGCGCAAGTCCCTCAAGAACCGTGCGGCCATTCCCCGCAGCGCCAAAGCCAAGAGACTCTCCCAGATGGAGCAGGGCCTGGACGCAGCCGGCTACGATGCCGACGCTGCTGTTTCTCGTGTCCGTTCCCAGAGCCAATCCCGTGGCCGTACGACGACCCGCGATATGGACGACGACGCGATGGATGTCGATCCCTCCGACCCCAAACAGGCAATCGCCAGGGCCAAGGGCCGTGCTCGCAGCCAGGCTGCTACAAACCGTCTGCAGGATGGTGTTGCCGACGAAACAGCCCGCTCCAAGGCCGAGCGCCTCACCAAGCTGGGCCAGAAGAAGATGAACCGTATGGCCAGACAGGGAGAAGCCGATCGACACCAGACCGTGTCTCTCACGAAGCACTTGGTACGTCTCCTTCACTGTATATTCTGTTATTTTTCAGCGCGCTAATATATTTCACTTTTTAGGTTGCCGGCAAACGTGGTATGGGCAAGACACAACGTCGTTAATCCATTCGATTTTAATCTTGCTTGCCGCCACGATACCGATACCAATGCTACGTTCCCCTCTAATACCTTCATCTCTGTAGTACAGTCCTTACTCTACATACTCGTTATGATTATGGTGTCTTAAAAAAATTCCAAGGCGTTAGGGGAGGCTTGTCGTTCTTCGTCTTTTTCCTATCTACGATATCTCGTCGCGCGTCTTATAAATAGGTACTTGGATAGATGTTCCATGTTCACCACAATCATTCAATGACAGTGTCACGTTCAATTACTTAAACCCTTCTAGAAGACTATCCATAACCATGCCCAGTCAAGCCCGTTTCCCATACGGCTGTCTTTACAAGTAGTATCGATAAACCAAGTCGGAGCTCAACTATCGGAGTGACAGATCCACGATTCGGCATCGTAATTGAAGTAAATGCTGTTCTCCCCAGGGTTGGTTATAACTGGTTATATATCATGTCACCAATCGAACCCAAATTTCCATACACCAGACCAGGAAAGACCTCGGATTATGCTCAGCTGTACAGTATATTTCCTTGATAGAATAATCTACAAACACAGTCTTTATATATTAACTAATATACTTAACCCCGTTCTCGTGCGATGAACATTGGTATCGCTACAGCTGCTAATTGGACTTGGAACTTTTTGATCTCATTGTTGGAGGCCTGACATGACCACTCTGATTTCCCGTTGGACCTAGGTGTGGGAACTCATCAACAGCTTCTGTACGGGAATCTAGCGTGTTAAGATTTCTCGAAGTAAATAACCCTAAGGTGGCAGTTAGTTCGATCATGGACCATCATCTGGGGTTATTGGCCTCTCTTTCGGTTGTGTTTGCTTCCTCCTGCCTTGTCGGTAATAGTCACTGCATATTTCCAGGGCAATTTCATTGACCCCGGCCTCCCAGGCCATGGACGGATCCCAAATAAAGAGGTCCGGCGGTTTAAGGTTGTCGAGAGCGGCATGTGCCTGAGGCCGAAACTCTAAACCCTAACCCAAGGCTCGAGCCCTCGTATCGCAAGAATCGCAACAGTGAAGACTCAACAGCAATACGTTCGGGTTCTTGGAATGATTTCAAGTTCAAATATTTCATAGTATATCTTGTCTATCCAACCCAATGCATAATATACAATCCCAAAAAGTTAAAAGTAAGAAAAAACAAACCCAACCCCAAACCGTAAAATGCAATCCTTATTTGTTGCTTTCTTTCTCTCCTCACAACGTCTCTTGTCATATCACATCGAGTATGCACGCCTGCATATCTATATAAATGTATGACTGTGCGTATACGCGTAGATATAAAGCATGTATAAAGGCTGGTTTATGCGGTTATCCCCCCTTTTACTCCCGGATCTCCTCAGCCGGCTCAGCCGGCTTGTCTCCCTCACCATGCTCGGTTTGACCCTGGCCTTCCTTCTTGGGGTTCTCCTGGGCAGGAGGGTGGATGTCTCTCACGAGGTTCTCGTCAGGGACCCAGGAAGCACTCTTCCAGGGAACCACCTGCAGGACATACATGGTATCAACCTCCTCGAGGGTACGGCCTTGACTCTCGTTGACGAAGAAGAACACGATCAGCACGCCTGCAAAGCAGCAGGCAGCAAACACATAGCCGTAAGCGAAGTCGATGGACCCAGAGATGAATGGGGTGAAAAATGAGATCAAAAAGTTCCAAGTCCAGTTAGCAGCTGTAGCGATACCAATGTTCATCGCACGAGAACGCTGTGGGTACATTTCACTACAGATCGACCACACGATAGGGCCCCTAGGAATGTTATTAGAACTCTCTAGATGATCCTGGGGCGTTTCCTGGGGGTCAAACTTACCATGTGGTGGCGAAGCCGCAGATGAAGAAACAGGTGAAAACGATCATCGCGGTTCCGGCCTTGGGGGTATTTTGAGGGTTCTCCAAGTCCAGAGCAAAGTGGCCAACCGATGCCCAGATCCAGAAGCAGATCGAGCACCATGCGCCTCCAATCATAAGACTGTTGCGGCGTCCGAAGTGTTCGACGATATAGAGACCGGGAAGGGTCATTCCGAAGTTGACAGCGCCAAGAATAATCTGAGTGACGTAGCTGTTGCTCAAACCAGTAGAAGTAAAGATACTGTTTCCATAGTAGAAGATAAAGTTGGCTCCAGTAAGTTGCTGCAGCGACTGCAGCGCAATACCGAGAAAGGTGCGGTACATCATCCGCGGGCCGGTGAAAACCTCGTGCCAGGGAGCAACTCCAGCGGCACGCTCCTCGTCGAGCTTCTCCTTCATATCTCTCATTTCTTGGACAACAGCACGGTGGTTTTCGTTGACACCATATAGCTTAGCCATGACCTTGCGTGCCTCATCGATGCGGCCGTGGCGATAAGCAAAACGGGGAGACTCGGGAAGGAAGAGGGCGCCCAGACCAAGAATCAACGGCCAGGCAAAACCAATTCCCATGGTGATTCTCCACGAGGCAGTGGATTCGATGCTCTCGGTGCCGAAGTTGATGATGTAGGAGATGAAGATACCGAAGGCGACGAAGAGCTGGAATGCACTGATCATGGCACCGCGGACCTGGCGAGGGGCGGCCTCGGACTGGTACATGGGGACGACGCTGGAGAGCGCGCCAATGCCCAGACCAGCAACCCAACGGCCCATGGCAATCTGAACCCAGTTGCTGTCCGTAGCAATCTGCACGATGATTCCGACTATGTGGATCACGGACCAGAAGGACATGGAGAATTTGCGACCAATGCGATCCGCGATGGGGGCGGCAACGAGGGCTCCGATCATAGTACCGATGCAGAGCTAGGGATAGGTTAGTTAGGGCTAGAGGCATCCCCGGTGATGGCTAACTTACCAGACCGACAATCAGACCGTTGCGGACATTGCTGAAGACGTACTCGCCGTTTGCCTGACGCTCCGCAAAACGCATCTTGAAGTCATTCATCGTTGTGAAACCGGCGATTTGGCCTGCGAAAATTAGAACAACGAACCATGGTCGGCGCAAGGCAGTGAACTCACCAGTCGAGTAACCAAAGATGAAACCACCCATGGACACCACGATACCCAAGATAAACGATCGCCATGTTAGGTACTTGACGGGGCTATCGTCGATGATGCCATCGTCCTTCTCCGCAGTCGAGTCGGATCTCGAAGGCGTGGTAGCCTGAGAATGCTCTTGCTGCTCAGCCTTGGGCTTGAAGAGACCCTTAATGTTGGCCACACCCATTGTGATTGTATATTTTTTTTTTCTCACAAAACGAGAGTGAGAAGACGAGGTGAGGGAGGGTTGGGAAGGGAGGGAGGAACGCAAGGGAGAGAACCAGCTACGACCCGGAAACGAGGGAGGCCAAGGGATTATATCTACGGGCGGGACATGGGACAAGCCGATTTAGCGAGACATTTAATTATCGTGAATTCTACCTACTCTGGGCAGCCTGGGGCCTGGGCGAATGAACGGGGACAAAGCTCAACGGCAATCGGCTACCATCCCAGGATTGGGGAACCCACGGGAGAACCAGACGGGGGCCCGGATCTTGACGGGCCCCGATAGGGGGAGACGGGCAGGTGATGGGCAAGGGATTCATTCTACGGAGTGCTGCTCGGCTGGGTGACGAGAATTCTCTGATGCTTCCCTGGAGATTCGGTGGAGAGGGGGTGGAGAAGGGGCAGAGTAGGAGAGGCGATGACGGCGACAAGACGGCCACAACAGCTTCCAGACGTGCCTGTTGAGGAAACCAAAAACCGCGAGTCGTCATCTGACCTTGTCGAGTGGTCCAGCAGGCTATTTCTGGACTTGGTTCTGTTGACAAACGCCTCTCGCCCTACCTTACTCTCTCAGCGCGCTGAGGTGCTGTTGGGTGCGCCCATTAGGGCTCGTCGACCGTGATTTGACGGCGTTTCTACGGTCATTTTGAAACTAGAGACCCGCGGTTTCCATTTACGAGAGTAGATCCACTTTCTGTCTTGTCGCGTTACTGCGAGAATTCTATTTTTCCCATGGCGCATCGCGACGAGTTCTAAATGTGGATTCGTCCGAGAACTGCGGCAGATCCGCACTCGGGGTGGAGCGCAAGAAAAAAGTTTTCCTCCTGGCGATCGCCAGCACAGGGGAGGCTGCATCGCTGAAGAGGACGAGTGAGAGAAAAACTACAGGGGACGAGAAGCCGTGAAAGATGCTGCTGCTGGCAGGTTTATATACCTGACCGGTCTGTGGGTGAGGGATTGTTGTCTCGCAATCAGCACACGGCATTATTGGCCCGAGCCGACATTTTCGGCACGCCGAAGACTCGGGATCCACGCTCAGTCGGCCTCGGTGTGCCGATTCGGAGGGGAATTTTCTGCAACGCGCCCAGCTCTTCTCTGAAAAATCTCACCGATGGGTGGATCCAGTTCCTGGTGTTCCACTTGGCGTCGTCTTGGGTTTCTCTTGTCTTCGATCCACTCCCGAACATTTCAACCTCTTCTTGCCTCACGCAGGAGGGGATCACCATAGCTACCATACTACGACTTGCATTGTTGGCAGCATTGTCCGGTTGTATGTTATATTTTGGTATATATACCACTGTAGTCGAAACAAGTACTATCAACAGTGCGAGCTCATCAAAGCAAACATCGATTAACTCAACCAAGCCTTGGCCGGGACAGACTGTCGCTGGCTTCGGTTCCTGGTTCCACAGTCTAGCTTGCTTTAGGGCACGGTGAGCAGCCACTGGATCCATGGAATAATGTCGGGCTTGACATCCGAAGATCTTCTTCACTTGTGGTAAACGGGACTCTGGAAAATATTGGTAGAAATTCAGACCTACCAGTTCACAATATACAAGCCATTATTATGGGAGCGTTGGTGAGAGCAAGGTAGAACAGTTGTTGAACTTGCATAGAACGAGTGCTTAAAATATTCTATATAGCCACAGCACCCGATTTTTGTTTTCTTGAATCCGTCGTAGCCGATATTCACGGCATACCCAACACGGTCATCTGCCGAGAATGTCGAGTGGTCTGATGGCGATACACATGTCTAGGCTTTTAGCGCATATTAGCAAACAGTTCCGGTTGACTTTCCCTTTCGGTGGCCTAGAATTTGATGCACGGCTGCGAGGCATATCCTTTCCAAAACTCGAAGTCTTTGCATTGCTGGTTCACCACTTGGGTATATACAACGAGCCGGCCGTTATGACACTGGCTAGTCTACTTGTCTACCCGTGAAGAGAAACGCAGTGGGTGATGATTTCCATTATTATTGCCAGTTTTGCCACAACCTTGGATAACTAGTTAACCACTGCGTCATTAATATACAACCGTGGTTTCAAGTTTTCTATAATGAATCGGATTAAAATAATATATCACTTTCCCAGGTTAGCGGCCTGGCATCCATTAGAAAGAGTCCAGCGTCCGTGACGTAACGTTTCGCATTTCCCATACATCTTTCACATATCGCTTCACCTCCTACAAACATCCAACATGGAATTGTCCAACAGGACTACACATCCTAGCATCTTTTTTTTTTAAGTGCTCTTCTTTGCATTCTCACGCTCCGCCTTGCGAAGGGCCCGCTTCCGGATTGACTCATGCATACCCTTGTTCTGGTTTGCGAGAAACTTGCTCATAGGGCTGATAACGCACGTAGCAAGGTATGCCACCAATCCGTGACTCCAGTAAGGGGACGAGCTGTACGCATAGGTTGGGGAACCGCCATTGTTACCGATCTTGGACAGCGTCGCCTGCACGAACGAGCGCGGGTTGGGGATCAAGGCACTCGTCTTGCGAATCTTGGACATGGCAGAGGTAATGAGGTATGCCTGCACCAGCTCCACAGTGATGCCGTGCGGCTGGAGTTCAGAGCCAAGCGCTGTCGACCACTGCTGCAAGAAAGCTTTGCTTCCGGAGTAGGTAGCAAGAAGCGGGGTGGGGACGAGACCACCGAAAGATCCCATGGTCAGGATCAGTCCACGCTTGCGCTGGATCATCCCGGGGACGACCAGTTGCGTAACCCGCAGAGTACCCGTGCAGTTGATTGTGATTATGTCCGCCATCTCGTCCTCGGGAGTCAGGGCAAAAGGGACCGGGATGCTGTGACTCTTTCCAACGTTGTTGACCAGAATAGCGACATCTAGCTCATCCGCTAGCTCCTTGAGCTTCTCGTAGTCCTGATCCTCATTGAGAGCAAAGTCCATCGCCAGCATCTTGGTCTGCACGGAGGGGTATTTCGAGGTGATTTCATCGGTCAGGGTGGTAAGCTTGGAGGCCGTTCGCGAAACAAGGACGATGTTGAACCCAGCACGAGCGAGCTGGAGCGCGTATTCCTTGCCCAGCCCATCGGATGCACCTGTAACAATCGCCCAGCTACCCTTGGGGCCGAATGAGCGAAGCTAGGTGGGAGATTAGTACAATCCACGAAATCAAAGCTCGGATATAGTGTATTATCGACGTACCGACTTCCCGGGTAGAATGAATAAACTGGCAAGGACCCTAGCAAAAGTCCAGGCTCTGGAGACAACAAACCAGCCTCCAGCCGCAAGCAACACCGAAGCTGCCACACTTTGCCAGCCGGGAGCAAAGTTCCACTCCCAGTGGGAAAGCGAATACGTGATTTCGTTTACGAATTCCATGGCGAGTGATTGTCCTTTCAATCCAAGTAAAGAGGAGGGTGCAAGGCGAGCTTCGTTCCCAGGTGTCTTTCGGGGAATGTTCGCTCAACCAAAGAGTTGCCTAGGCTCAACAGCACGGATCACGGGGCTGCCCACTAATCCCCATTGGGACTCTCAACAACCAGAGCTCTCCGAAGCTTCGGCATACTGAAGAAAAGGAGACTGCTCAAGGCCAGCTCCTGAATTCGCGTTGAATCAACGTTATTCGAGTAGAATCGCCTTACAGATTATCTTTCCCTCTTGCCCTCCCGACCATGGACCAACTTCTGTCTCATCTCCCACCGTTCGACGGCCTCCTCCCCAAGTGGCTTGTCCTGGTATGCGACGTCGACATCTCGAGTTGTCACAAGCAAAGCTAACAATGCACAGGTGTCTGTCATCTCCGCCGCAAACAGCGTTCAAGCCTACTTCTCCGAGGCCTATACTGCACAGCTCTACAATGGCCGCCTAGCCGACGGTCGCCCGCACACGAACGCCCACTCCTCTCGACTGTTCGGTACCTGGACCTTCCTCTCCGCCATTGTCCGATTCACCGCCGCCTACAACATTACCACGCCCGCGGTATATGACCTTGCGGCATGCACTTTTGGCCTTGCTTTGTTGCACTTTGTTGGAGAGTGGCTGGGATTCGGCAGCGCACAGCTCAAGGGCCGGTTTGTTAGCCCGCTGATTGTCGCGTCGGCCAGTCTGACTTGGATGTTGACGCAAAGGTATGCGTATCTTGGGTTGTAAATCTAGGTAAACTAGGTAAACACGGAACAAAGTACGATATTAATTACATGGTACGGAATATATAGTTATATCATAATATACCGATTTAAAAGGCAGCATCCTCTACAAAAACCCAAGGTAATTCTCTTCTCCAAACAGTCGGACAAGCCGGCCATATTGATGAAAAGAAGTCGCGTCTATCGGAGGTAGTGTAAGCCCGATGACACTGTGTAGCAAGACATGCGCAAGCACAGAGGTCCCGCCACTAGGACCAAAAATAAGATTAATCAATGTTGTGTTCCTTAGAACACTTTCAGAGATTAAACTGAAAAGAACAGATACTACACTTGATCTAAGCCAAAAGGCAAAGAGAGCTGGAAAAGAAAAGAAGAAAACGAGTAAATTGGCGGCGGGGACGGAGCCTTTTATAGCTGAGAACACGCCCGCCGCCACTAGTGTCGATTACGCGAGGAGCTATCCTAGATATGGAAATAAAGTTGCCTGAGGGACAAGGTGTCGAGTTCCCATTCAGTGAAACACTCCAGCTGCATCACCAGCTGCATCTTGTCAAGATATTTCACAATACTGTACAAGACAAAGGTCTATTTGGTACTTTGGACTGTCGTGAATCATTACCTCGGGCTGTGTCCGATCTCAGCCTCCCAGGCCTTGAGTCTGGAGTCAACGGTTTCCCCCGCAATAATTCCTCTGTTCGGCAATCCACACGATCTCCAACTTCTTCAGCTTTTGGTCATGGGCTCAACTTTGGCTTGGGCCTTGATCGGTTTCGATGATGCGCCCCCACGCTATATTTACCCCCACGCAGAGTCATGGCTGTCATAACCTTGCTCCCAGGAGCTTTGAGCATCCACTCAGGCGATAACCCCGATGTCTTTGCGCTCTCAAGCTGGTAGAAGAGGGTCTTTGACTTTGAGGATTCTTGGAGCAACTACGTCTATCGAATCATCTCTCCCAGAATACGACTCCATCTCTCGCTCGTCGGAAAACGGGTTGGTGATGGCCGAATCCTCGGTTCTGATAGCCTTCTCGTCTCCACTCCCCCCAGCTTGTGCATTCCCCAGCTTTCGCTCTCCAGATTCCCAGCCATCGGCCATACCCCGAGGGGTCGGCCCATTGTTACACTCATCATCCTCGGAAAAGACCCGCGGTCCCTTTCTGCCCGTTGGCCGCATTATGGATATATGAAGCTGTTCCCCTGCCCTATGCCATTTTACCAAACGTGCTCCTTTATTCCACCGATCCCGCCGTCGTCTTAACTCCGCATCTCAAGATGGTTGGCTGGTACGCTTTAGGAGTCGCGCTCTTTGCTGCGATAGGAACTTTTCTCTTTGTAAGGCGTTCTAAGTGCAACTCTGGAAACCAAGCCTACTGACTCTGGGTATTAGGGGTTTGATACGGGAATTGCCACCACAAGTAAGTTGTCGGCTGATGATCCATCTAAAATACTCAAACTCATGCCTCGCGCAGCAATCGCCCATGAAAGCTGGATTGAGTACATGGGCCACCCCTCAGAGGGACTGACGGGCGCGGTGCGTATGATTCAACTGGCTAACCGAACTTGGGCTGACCACAAGCAGGTCGTCGCCGTTTATATCGCCGGCGAAGCAGTCGGCGCCCTCTTCCAAACCGCGGTCGCTGATAAATTAGGGCGTCTGCGTTTCATGGAACTGATGTGTATAATCGTCACAATTGGAACTACAATTCAGACAGCCTCAGTCAACATCGGGATGTTTCTCGCTGGGCGTGCTTTGGCCGGAATTGCCGTTGGGTAAGTCGACCCCATGAATGGAAAGAGAGCAACCACCGCTGACATGTTGGTGGCCCGTTTTTCACAGCGGCATGGTTGGCACGGTTCCCATTTATCTCAGCGAGATCTCGGACCCTCGGTATCGCGGTCTCATCGGAGGAATCTCAGGTTGCGGTATCGCTTTTGGAACCATGGCTTCAAATTGGGTTGGATATGCTTGTAGCTTCGCTCCATATGGAGCTGTACAATGGCGCCTGCCCCTTGCCATCCAGATACCCTGGGGCATCATCATGTTCACCGGCTTGGTTACCTTTATGCCAAATTCACCGCGTTACCTGGTCCGAAACGGAAAGGTGGAGGCTGCGCGCAATGAGTTCAGCCGAATCCGCCGTGATCTCAACTCGCATGAGCTGCGCCAGGAATTTTCCCAGATGCTGGCACAGATCGAGTATGAGAAGGAGCGCGAGATCACCTCTTACAAGGAGATCTTCAGGCTTTTCAGGCACCGTGCTTTGGTGTGAGTATATTTGGAACCCGTGCCTGAGTGTTTTCGTCGACAATTATCTGACAATACTAGATCGATTGCTGTTCAGACTATGACCAGTCTTACTGGTGTCAACGTGATTCAGGTGCGTCCCACAGTTCCTCTTGTCAAATGCGCTGTACTAACTAATTATTAGTATTATCAAAGTAGGTAAACCCCGACCCAATTATCCCAGCTGATATTAATCCTTTCAAAGCTATCCTATACAAGTCTCTCGGTATCGAACCCCACACCATTCTCGCCCTAGCAGCAGTCTACGGCACCGTGGCCTTTCTCACCAATGCCCTCACTACAAAATACCTAACCGATCAATGGGGTCGCCGAAAGTAAGCTTCTCCCCTATCAAAAGAAGTATTTAATAAATAAAAAAAAAACCATACTGACAAAAAGCTAGGATGATCCTTACTGGTCTAGGAGGAATCATCATCGTCGAGATTTATGCTGCTGTTATGCAGCGAGAATTCCAGAACACGGATAATCGTATCGGCAAAGGGTTCGCTATTCTTGGAATCTATCTTTTCGTGGTGATTTACTGTATGTCACCAATCACCCATCCACCCACTCAAACAAGTAATACTTAAAGTCCGCAAAAAACAACTAACCTTTATCCTCCAGACGGTATGCTTAACAGCACAACATGGCTCTATGGCGCTGAAGTCCTTCCCATCGGGCTCCGAAGCAAGATCATGGGATTGGCCGCTGCATCCCACTTTATTGTTAATGTTGCCAGTATGTCTTGCCTCCTCCTTTCCCTAAACCTGATAAAACTCGGTCTCTAACCATAACATCTAAAAAATGAACAGTCACCGAAGCCGGTCCTAGCGCATTCGCCAATATCCACGAGAACTACTACTACGTGTTTGTCGCGTGTACGCTATTCTTCCTCGTCGTGGCTTATTTCTATTTCCCGTGAGTTATCCACTCCGACTCCGTAATGTGGTGCTTCAGGGAAAAGGCTAATCGCATATTATGTTCAGTGAGACTAAAATGAAGACCCTTGAGGAAATTGCCGCCTCGTTTGGTGATAGGGTTATCGATGCCGACGAGGTAGATCCCGATGTCAAGCCCGCGGCGCAGGTTGTTCATCAGGAGTAGAAATGTTGGTTGGGGGCTACCTACATACATAGGCTTTTATGTACCGGCAATGGACACATGTTGGATGCATATTAAAGTAATTTATCTATGAATGGATAATAGTCGTGATGACCGGATAACAAAGTTAATTATAATGGTATTGATTACTACAATGATAATCTCTGTATAGTTTCAAGGATATAATGACCTTATCTAAGACGAAGATTCCTAGGATAGCAAGCTGACCATGGTCCAAAACCGCACGAAGCCGGTAATGCTCTCCTCTAGTAACCCAGTGCTGGTTTGACAGCTAAGGGGAAACTCCGAACATAACTGTCTCTTAGTGCCTGTGTTCTTTAATCTATCCCCAGGCGAAAATAGGGTTATAGCGGGTATACAGTTCCTTTGAATATCGAGACAGAACTTGGCCCGTTCGACTATCAAAACCAGGCTGGCTTTTGGAGCTCAGGTCCTTACTGTGGGCTTTGTAGCAAATAACGAGAGTGGACGAAGCCGGTAAGAGGATTAGCCATTCCAAGGAAAGCCTTCGTAGTGGCCTTGATCGGAGACTGGAGCTCCCTAGTTAAGGATCGCCCGTCGGTGGTCTTCCAGAAGATATTGTTCGCGGCTTTAACTTGCGAAGAGATTGTGGACGTATCCGGGTCCGGGCCACCGATAGAGCGTTAATCTGGGATTAGGGTTGTCAACGGCAGAAGGTCTGTATGTCGCAGCTGTTTATTCTGAAATCCGGCTTATATAGTTCCCTTCCGGTTCTATGAGCCGACAAGGTATAATGCAGCAGTTCCGAGATATGAGCCCGGTTTACTCTTTGACATAATGGACAGTCCTAGAGCTTCATCGACCAGCAACTGGGGCAGATGTGGGAGATAGCAAGAGAGAGAGACAATCCCATCCGTCAAATGATACTGAGGACGGCGCCAACCAGTTTTCCGGATTAAGTCGCGTGAGTAGAGATTCTGTAAAGTAATCCGCAGGCGAATGAGAGCAACTTGTTGTCGGTGTTTGGGGCGTGAGCATGCCGGCGCTTGAGTCTATGGGCGTTAAGACTCGAGGTTGGTGATCTCGTCGAGGCTGAACGGATTTAGAGCAAGCGGTGTCACTAACAAAATTTATGTTAGGTAATTCGTGATTGTGAAAGGTGGGGACGAAGCTTACATTAGCTGACGCAGAACAGGAACGGCCTTGCTGCAAAAGTTGCTGCGGGTGGAAATAGATGTAAAGACGTCGAGAGACTTCCGTAGAAGCTCCTTAATCTCAGTGCTCTCGTACTGGTCATCAGAGTATATTAACATTGCGCAGAGGGTCACCGCGGCATGGAATGCGTGGAAGCTGCCCAAGGTGCTGCTGTACCACGTGTACGAAGCAAAACCTGGTGAGTTGTGGAGGGTCTGATGAATGGCGAGAGAGGTCTTTGCAGAAGCAATGCACTTTGCACGTGCGATGCATGTCTCAGCAGTGATGTCACCCTGTAGATATCGGCATAAGGCCGGGCGGAAAAGGAGGAGGATTAGTTGATGAATATAGCTGTAGAGGATGTTCAAATTGGCGAGATGGTGGACCGGAAGAGGTTCGGAGTCTGGCTCCAGCTGGTATCGCCTCTCGCATATCTCGTGCACGCTGAGGATCTCAATTTCGAGTTGTGCAACAGGACTTCTCGGCGGGAAGGTGAAGAGGGCCTCCGTTATCAGAGATGAGATGCTATGGAGCTTGTGCTGCAGGAGGAGATAGGTCATTTGGGTTGGACTCGGGGCTGGTTCTGAGACAGTGCCAGTGAGGAGGTCCACATCATTCACGTCTAAAGGAAGCTGCACCCCTCGGAAGCTAGGTCCTGGATTCAAATTACCATATGTGATACTCTGGCTGGTATACAACATTGTTAACCCTGCCCAGGCCCGCCGGCGTTCTTCGCGTTCTATTGGGCCAAGAGTAAATCGATCGGGGTCAATATGGCATCCCATTGAAGTTGCAACGTGATGAGTAAAGCCCAAGAGCGTCCAGGTCGGTAGGCCATGGTGGATGCGAGCGTAACTGATCAGAATAAGTGATTGGAGAGAATTGATAGAATGACGAGAAAGAACACCGTCTGCTGACAGACACCTCAAAGCAGCGGAGCGGTAGCGTGAGGAAAGAACACTCATATTGCGAGTAACAGTTCTCTGACGGCCGAGGTCAGAAAGTATAGGGTCATCGTCATGGAGGGCAGTGACAGCAATAGCAAGGATGATAAATAAGAGAGAAATCCACGCGGTTGTGACACTGTTTGGATCATGGCAGAACTGCTGGTACTCGGCTTCAAATGTTAGGTCGTGAAGGATATGGAACAACTATAGTAGTAGTGTTAGGCTTCAGAACCGGTGTTGAATATGACAGCTGGACAACATACAGGAGAAAAGACTCGGAAGTAGACATCCTTGAGTTTATCGCAATACCGGCTCGGTGGAAGTATAGCCAACAGCTCCCCCCGGGATGCTGCACTCCCCGTGGAGGGAAAGTGCACGTCATCATCATCAAAAGGTACCTCTGAGTTTATATCAGGGAGAGAATCGCCGGAAGATGCTCTCCATTGGGAAGTCAATGGTAAATAGCGCACGTGTCCCGATGCAAATGTCTGCAAAGTGCCCACACAGCTTAACAGAGGGCTTCTTGGATACTCTGCAGGCACCCCACCGATCGCGCTATCTAGATCAGAGAAGCTCCCCGTCAAACTAGGCGATACGAGTGGTGAATGAGGGTCGCATAACTGTGAACTGGTTTGTTTCTGGAGTAAATCCTCCAAATGGCGGATGCGTGCAAGCAATTTGGTCTGTACGGCGGAGTCCGTGCCCAATGTATTCTCTGAAGACAGTCGTGGTTGGCCCAGGTATACGCAGTCCTGCGCACCTAGGCCTCGTCGGACACATGTTTGGCAAGGCCGTCCATCTCGGGAGCAGCGGATTTTTCTTGTTCGACATGCTTGACAACTGATAGGAAGCCGCTTGCCACCTGGACGAGAAGATGCGGTCATCCTAATGATCAAAGTCGATGGCAGGGCTAAGATCAAAAAGACGGTTGTGTATAGGAAACGAGAGAAGGATAAACGAAAATATCTTAGGAAGGAGAGATGTGGCAACTATGCATGTGATATAACGGCTCAGACACTTCGATCAAAGGATGAAAAGGGTATGCAGGCACTTTCAGATCCCAGCTATGGTTTGTGTCTATAAAAAGAAAGATCTGAGAAGCAATTCAGGAGGGAATAACGTTCTTATAACCTTGAGCAATCGGGAAATGTTACTGTGAGGGCCACTCCCACTGAAGTATTACCGATACGGCGTAGTCAAGAAATTGCTGGGGTAGCCAGTGGGCAAAACTGAACGACATGATTGGGCTCTTTTCCACTCTGGTCTGTCTGGTTGAGCATTCCAATTGCCAAAGCTCTGCTGCCCTTCCCCGAAGATTTACATGAAAGTTAGCGGAGGAATAGAACGATGATCTACACGTCTTTCCTGCATGACGGTCCCATCTAATGTCACTTCATTAGTCAAGGGCAGAACATCCACTCGGCTTCCCACGTTGCCTGCCACTCCACCACGCGATGGACGGGACCGGGTTCGACAGCCTACAGGGGACTATTTGTCGGTGGCTCTGGTGGGTGGCCAATGGGGTGTGAGGTTCCTGGCTGCTGGGTCCAAAGGGCGGAGTGCTTCATGTAGATAGACTTTGAGGCTTCATCGCGTGGACGGCACACCAATGACTTTGGTGGTCGATCTTAAAACTTACAGCCGAAGACGGAACCGAAAATCTAATGATCTCTCCTTGCAAATACGTAGTAAATGCGTACAAAAATGAAAATTGGCATTGCTGGTTGAATCAGTGACATCCTGCGAATCGCCCGTCCTTGAATCATTTGGATGGAATGTCGGGGTCATTGCGAGTTTCAACAGGCGTCGAAGGCTTGTTCAGTGTTCCGACAATCTTCCGACAATCGCCACTCATTCTTTAATTAGAGTTCAAAAAGTCTTGGAAGTCATGCAGTTCGAGGTTGTACATTATTAATTCGACACTGATCGAGAAGCCCACGACGTAAAACCTACTCCGCAAAGGCCTCACGAGGTTGATGGGTCAAAGAGCATATCACCATACTCCGCTGACAGCCTGACACTGTCGGACTTGCTATGGGAGATCGCTGTTAGTTAGCTTGACTAGATGAGATCGTGTCCTCTTGGGCAGCTGTGGGGCTAGTCGTCGACTCCAGAAATGAGACTTTCAGAAAAGGAAGGCAATCGGCAAAGCCACTATGGACGAGTAAGACATTCAAGTTAAGGCAACCTCCTTTGGAAAGTTGGTGGGGTTGACCATTGCGACTGATGGGAGACCCTGAATCAATAGTTGCATGTCAGGCGGCAGCGTCAACAAAAGTACCAACATTCCACTAAGTCAAGGTTTGACAAGAGATTCTCGAAAGACCATCGAAGCGAATTGAAGGAGACTCCGCTGATCCGACGCATGCAAGCGAAGCCACTGGGCCAGCGCGTGCTGGAGCCTCGCGCACGGGAATGCAGCACAAAGTACTTCTGCAGGTTCCCCATAAATCGTCATATTGATTGGCATGATGCAGTTGGGCTATCGGATTTAGAGTTGGACCAAGGATGCAAGATTTGAAATGATGAAGAAATTATCGATGCACTTTCGAGCGGAAATGATGGGAAGGGAAGCAAGCTAACGGGAGAAGAGGCCTGAGCACCAAGGTTCCAGTGACTCGGGAAGAAACGCCCATACTTCACCGCGTCTTGTCTTCATTTTGCCTGCGAATTCCATCTGTATCATGATAAGAGACAGCGGTGGCCAAAACTCGACCCAACCGCAGAGTATCCGTGGTTGGGGCCGGATAGAGCGTTGCCCACCCATGGAACAGGCCGTGTTGGTCCACTGGTTACTTGCCCTATTCCACTCCAAAACAAAACAATAACAATCAGCGAAAACTAGACCAGGCAGTAGGAGCATCAACAAGGCCTGTTTATTCACCGCAAAGCCTAATTTTGCCCAAGAGAGTCTTCTGATGGGCGGGCGTCGGGCACCATGTCAGCCTCATTCTTTGTTCGTCTCCGTTTCCATCGAAATCGAGGAAACGTGAAAGGAGCGTAGGAAGAATAGTTATAAGATGGGAACCTCGTCTTCGAGGGCTCGAGATGATGATGTTTGCAAAACAACCCTGCAGAAACGAGAGCTCGCCGCCGCCACTCGAGTAGCTGAGATTTGTTGATTGAGTTCAGGTGAGTTGCCATCACGAGATCTTCACGTGCGTTCTTCCATCTCATCGTCTCCTTCTGCTTCAATCATCACCACTGCACCATCCAGCACTTATCTTCTTATTCACCGTCTCATCAACTTCGATATTTGCTTGTTCTATCCAGTCAGGCCTTGGTCAGCCTCATCCTGTGCCGTGATCTACGAGTATTTCCTTGATTATACCTGTCGCGTCATAGGACGAGCACCAGGCCTCCACTAGCTCGTCTTTTGCCCCTCCTCCCCCTCAGCCCCAGCCTCAGTCCCAGCGCTGATATCATCCTTTCGTCTTCTCTTGAATAAACTCGATCCTTCAATTCTCAGCTGGCTTTCTTTCATTCCATACCCTTCTCCATTTGTTCTATCCCGTTTCAAGCCTCTGCCTTGCGCCCGATTGCCTGTATTGCTACTTTCTATTGGTCTTCTCTTCTTGCGTCTTCAGTCCATCACCATTGACTCAGCCTTGTTACCCCACCCCCCCTGATAACCGCACGTTCCGGTTTTTTTGCCGCCTTCCCCTCGCTTTATTACAATTCTCACATCCCGCCACCCCTCAGTTCCAACTTTCTTCCACTCTCTTCTTTCAAACAGCCCCTCATGTCTTCTTACCTATACAGAGACCGCGAGGACGACTGGGACGAGCCTCGTTCTGCTGTCTCCGTTAAGCGCTACGTCATACCTCCAGAGGATCGTCGAGACCGCGATCGAGACCGTGATCGAGATTATCTCTTTCGGGAAGATTCAGGCCCCAGCGAGCGAGAATTGGTCATTCGTCGCAGAACAGACCGCGAAGATCCCGTCATGATTCAACGCTACGAGCGAGATGCGGACTACGACCGCTCCGAAAGAGATTACTATGAACGTGAGTATACGGTGTCTTAGTCCTAAACCCATCATTATTTGTAAAGACCAGTCGGTAACCGCTCAAAACAGCTCGGTATATGCACCCGCGCGAATCTGACTACGACATCGTGCACCGATCAGAGGTAGACCGAGAGCCAGCCTACTACTACCATCGTCGTGTCCGAGAATACGACAACGACGGCCGTCGGCTCCGTCGTGAGCTAAGCCCTAGTGACTCTGTTTCACAGGCTACTCGCCGGCGCGACGACCAAGACTACAGTAGCGATGACAGCATGGTCTACATTCGCAAAGAAACTAAAGAATACGACGACCATCATAATCGTCACCTAGCCTCGGGTGCTCTTGTGGGTGTTGGTGCGGCAGAATTTCTCCGAAACCGTCGGAAGAAGGACGGGGACGACGTCTCGAATGGCGTCGGCCGTGTCGGCCGCGATGTAGGCGCCGGTGCCTTGGGTGTCGCCGCGGTTGAGGCTGCCTCGCGGGCAAGAAAATATTACCGTAGCAAAAGCCGCCACCGCTCCCATTCTTTCGATGATGATCGGAGTTCTCGTCACAGTCATCATCACCGCCACTACAGTCACAGCAATTCCCGCCATGGGCGCAGCCGAAGTCGATCTCACTCGCGCTCTCGCGCCAGGACTTTTGCAGAACTTGGTTTGGGAGCCGCCGCTATTGCCGGTGCTGTCGCGCTAGCTCGCAAGAAATCAGACAGCGGCCGGAAGTCAGACAGTGGCCGACGCAGCCGTTCACGCCATCGTCGAGGTGTTAGTTCCTCTCGATCAGTTAAATCTCCCGACGATGAGAAGCGCAGCCAGTCGCAGCGCCGCAAGCACATGGCAGAGGCTGGCTTGGCAGGTGCCGCTGTAGCCGGCCTTGTCGAGAGAGCTCGCAGCCACTCTCGGAGGCGGCCTCGCTCTCGGTCAAAGAGCAAGGTCAGGCAGGCTATTCCCGTTGTTGCAGCCGGACTAGGCTCTGCCGTGGCTGCAAACGTTTGGGACAAGAGGAAGGATAAACAAGCCGAAGAAGAGCCACGCCGTAAAGACCGCCGGCGTTCAAGATCGAGAGGCCGACCATCATCGGAGATATATCCCGACCCGAACCGTGACTCTGCTGGCTTGATAGAATACGGTGACCATCCAGTACACGGAAGCATCCCAGCTGCAAACTACTACGGCCGCCCTCCTAGCTCTCAGGGGTACCGTTCAGACCGTGGCCGTACTCCGAGCCGCAGCCGCAGCCGCGCCCGATTCAGCAGCAGCTCCCCCAACTCGAGCGAGGAGGACCGCCGAAGGCGCAGTAGTCGTCATAAGCATCGCAACCGTTCTCGCGACTTGGCGGGGGCCGCATTGGCTGCCACAGGCGTTGGCTATGCGGCTCATAAATATTCCCAGCATCGAGATCGCCAGAGGGAGGACAAAGACGGAAGTAAGTGGCCTACCAATTTCATGTCAACCTTATCTGTAATTTATGCATAGCTAACCTGGGCAAATCAGGGTATGACAGCGATGTACCACCAAGTCCCTATGAGGACCCCTATAGCCCTGGGCCTTACCCGCCGTCTCCTGCTCCCAACGCATCCTTCGATGGCAGGCCCAATAACTACTACCCCCCACCTCCGGGTCCGGGTCCAGCGCCCATGGGGCCAGGCCCTGCACCTTACAACCCGGCTGATTATCCGCCTCCGCCCAACGCTGCGCCTCCTCCCCAACAGTACAATTATCCTCCGCCTCCCGGGCCAGATGCATACGCTCCCAGACCCAGGAGGGCAGATGAGAATGTGAGTGCTGCACGGAACTTTTCCCCTCCAATCACACAATATCAACCTTATCATGGTGTGTTGCGTCAGTCACGCCTATAGTCGAGAGCCACGCTGACCCTTTAGATTCAGGTTTAGAGAACCCAGATCGGGTAGAAACGCCTCGTCGACGCCGTCGACGCACGCGTGCTGGGAGTGAACCACCACAGTCCAAATCCGTTGCCTTCGACGATTACCCACAGCGCAATCAAAATACGGGTGGATATGAAACGGATGATAGTGATAGTACTGTTGATGCAATGGATTCAGGCCGTCGCCGCCGCCGCCGCCGTCACCCTCGTCGCCATTCCGACCGACGCCATCGTTCTTCGTCTGACCAGACTCGTTCGAGGCGTAACCCTGGAAACGATAATAGTGCTGCACAATCAAACGGTCTTGAATCTGACTCTGATGCTACCATCGACCTGCCTGATCGGTTTGACCGCCAGGGTCGTCTTCTTCCCCAGCCGGACGATGACCCGCTAGCTGACCGAGTCGAAAACTTGCTAAAACGATTTAACCGAACATTTGCCTAATGATTCTATCCATGTTATTTCTCTTGGGTGGTATTTTGCCTTTATGTTATGACAGTTTATGATTATGATATTTCATGTTTTCCTCTGAAGATACTTATATGATATGGTATGATCATGACTCACGGCCTCACATATGATGTATATGATCATCAGTCTACGATAACACCCTAGCTTATGCTCAATGAAATTTATGCTTGCTTTTACTTGAAATGAACATGCCCACCGATTTTGAGTACTTGCGGTCGTACGTCTTGAACTAATCAGGCCAAGCCCCCAATAACTCAACCTTCTACTCTGCTTGAAAGACCTAGCCTTAGACCCATAGTCTAGCTCACTGGAACACAATGCATGTTTATATATATATTAAATCATCGTATAGTATTCGCTCGTGTCGCGTCGTGTCAACTAAAACTTTGATATATAGATGCATATATATCTCCCCCTATGGGCCCACATAAATAACCTTAACTTCCTACCAAACGATAGCCATGTGCAGTCGCCAAATACAAATATGCATAAAGGTAAAGGGAATCCAATGTAAGGGCTAGCAAATAGTCCCCACCTGGTTTTTTTTTTTAAAAAAAAAAAAAAAATATGTACTGAGAGCGCCGCGCTGAGGCGTTCGATACCCGCCCTTGAAGTGAATATCCGTTGATTTTTAGGCTCAACGAACTGTGCTTTTGTTGTCGCTAACGAAGAGAAGGTGGGCTAACGTAACATTCGATTGGGGAATGGAAATACAGATGGATTGGGTGCGTTGAAGGGAGATGGCACCGAGCGAAACAGATAGGTGGAGGGGAGGTAATATATATCAAGAAAAATATAGTAAATAAAGAATATGTATGTGGCGTGCAGGAGAGATTGGGTCCACTGAAAGCGACACCTGTATATTTACATAACCAATATCTAGTAAAGTAGTAAGGATAGATGCAGTTTGAAAAAGGAGTCGAGCGCCAGTGATGGCTTAGTGTATGCGATTGGGTATATCATAAGCCACAACAAAAGAAAGATGATATATGTCATACAATCATAATGGGCTAACATTAATAATTAAAATGAAAAGGGCCGATCAGGCCACAAAAGCTCGTCTGGTCATCGTGATCAGTGATCGTATGGCCTTGAGGGTCTCGCCCTCGGGAACGGCCACGCTAGAAGGGGTTCGACGGTGAAGTTTAGGCATAGAAATGCTGACAGTATCGTTTTTCTCAGGAGTATGCTTAGGGTCACCGTTGTCGTCATCACTATCGGGAGTCACCTTGATGCTGGAGCTGATAGATGATGAATGGAAGCGAGAGCTGAGGGGGAGTTGATACTGGATAACTCCTGCAACAATCAGCTCGAATGGGTGCTGTAACACGCGTTCCCATCGCTCGGTGCCGCCCTTTTCCGTCGTATTTCCGGGCCGCGCGAGGCGGATCTGGCCTTTCGAAGTAGAGTATTCATGATTCCACGGTGACGCCTCAAACGTCAAAGTAGAGTCGAGACGGAAAACGCGACCAATGAGCATAGTTTGTTGGTCGCCAGCCGGGTCATCCGGGATTGGATCAGTACCCTTATCCACACCACCCCGAGGAAATGTCAACGGGTCTAACGAGCTGTCATGTTTGCAATCGACTCCGCCGGCGCAACGAGCGGCACGTGCGACATCAGCACGCTTTCGGCGTCCCGCTCGTTCGAATCTTGCAACGTCGGATTCATAATCGCGCCAAAACCTCTCAGTTCCAACATATCGACTTTTGGCAAAAATGTTCACATCAATGTCGTCAACAACAACGGGGAACAGGTTAGGGTTGACGGCCTGCACATTGAGATCTAGCATAAGTTCCTGCTCCGAAGCAAGCACGTTCTGGATTTCCAGGACTCGGACATCCACAAGGGGTTTAGTAATGGCGACAATGAACGAGGTGCCTCCTCCGACTAAGAAGAAAAACAGGAGGGTAATCAACACGCACGTTCCGTATTGAGATAGACAGCTGCGATTCCGTTGTTGCATGTATTCCATTTGTCGTAGACTTGCGCTATTAGGGCGCCTTCCACCACGGCTGCGCGTCTGGCGCGGCGACCCTACAAGAGGTGTCCTTTCATCATCCGCACCTTCGGCATCGAAATCATAGCCGTATACTTCGCCCGCTTTTTTATAACTATTGATGGTACGATAATTTTGAGGGTTCCGATATCCCGGCTGTCTGGACTGTCGAAAGCCGCTTCCGATAAAGTGACGTGGAGACTTGGGCCCTTGACCTTGACCTTGAGCCTGAGGGAATGGCGAGTCATTATCAAATAAAGAGGGATACATGTTTTGTCGTCCATGGCGGCCGACATGGTGGCGAGGAGTATGGCTACCGTTGCCATCAATCCTGGGGTGTGAACGGGGAATTTCGTCGGCGTCTCCGTCCACGCTGCCCGCATAAGTGTTATTCGTAAATTTCATGCTGCGTTTTCCCGTAACGCTTTGATTCCCTTCTCGCATTGCAGCACGACTACGGCCGCCCAGCTGATCCACTTGGCTCACCATAGACGTTGCACTTGGGGTACGGGAATGATATCTGCTCTGTCGAGCTGGGTATTGATCTGGGGGGTTGGACTCGTAAACAAAAGTCTCGTCCGAATCTGAAACGTCTGCTTCATCAACGGCACTGGCAACTTTGGCTTCGAATATATCGGCCTTCGAAGAAGCAGCGCCACTGGCGAGGGGAGCCGGTTTGCGAGATCTTCTCTTTTCCTTCTTTGGACGGATGGTCTCGGTGCTGGGCTTCATCCGCAATGTCCCGGGGTCTGCCCTACCTGGGCCACCCCGTTCGCCAGTTCCGACACCCAAGCCAACCTGGGGAATGGAGCTAACAGTTTCAGTTTCGACGATCATATTCCGGACAGAGCCATCGGTGGGTTTTGCGCGAGAGGTACCGCTTAGCGAGGTAGTAGAACGTTTGGGGATAATGGTGTTAGGTCCCTTTGTAGCGAGTGACGAACGCCGGCGATTTTCTTCCATCTGCTCCGAGCTTCTATTACCACCACTGTCGCTCCCACTTTCAGTGTTAAGCCTCGAGGTATTTGGGGTCCCATCTTCTTCGATCTTCTCTAACTTGGCATCTTCCTGAGGGGGTTGGAGAAGTATAGTATCGGTCGTTGACGGGGTGGAGTGGTCGCTAGCCTCCTGGACAGTCTCAAGGGCAGATCCAGATCCATTGACGCTTCTATTCACGGGGCGCGGCGCGCTCCTATCTGACTTGGAAGTATACTCGTCATTCGGACCTGGAGACCGCTTGCTAGAGGTATTGGGTAGATGAGGTTCTTGCTCCGACCGCCGATTTCCGGCCCACAACGGCATATTGGATTTTTCCGGGCTAGGTACATCGGAGGACGGTTCGACATTTGGGGGAGGGCTGAGGACAAGTGGTTTGTTGATCTGGTGAGAGGGCTTGCCCGGGCCAGGGCTCGGACTCGCTGTAGCTGATCTGTTTGGACTGCGATCAAGATTCCGTTTCCGAGACCGAGAGGATACACGAGACGTTGATGTAGAGGTTGAATTGCGATGACGCTGGGGGGAAGGAGACGGCTCACGCGAGGATATGGCGGAGTTCGTGGTCGAAGGAGGACCCGAGACACCCTGTGTAGGATTCGAAGGTTTGGGCAACTGCGAAACGAAGGGTGCGTGTGATTGGGATTTGACGGTCGAACGTGGCACTTCCGTCATGTCGTTCTCACTGGCGGATCTTCGGGTAAGAGATGTAGACTCATCATCTTGGGCAGCTTTGGGCCCACCACCTGGACCGTCAGGGTAGGGCGACCTCTCGGATTCCACAGCCATGGTCTCTGTCGAGTCAGATTATTGCTGACAAGCGCATGAGAAGTCAGGGGAATCCGAGAGGAAATTAGACTGCAGGAGCAAAAAGTAAGGGTAAAAAAAAGGTAGTCAGATAATCAGAGAAGGGCAAAAAAAAACAAAAATAAAGGCGGGAAGGGGCGGGAAAGTGGCTCGGAGGGCGACGATAGGACAGGAAAAAGAGTACAATGAAAAATGAAAAGCGAAAATAACCAGAAAATTGCCCCAGCAATTGTTCCAGCCTTGAAATCAGCCAACGAGCAAAAAGACCGACGCGTTGGATGACAAGAATGACTTGATGTCTCACAGAGCACGTTACATGGGGGAGGGATTTGGCAGGCGAATCGTCAACGGCCACATGCTGATGGGAAATACCGAAAGACCAAAGGGGCAAATCACGGCCCTTCAAAAGGGAGGAGCCAGAACAAATCAATCAATAGTGGAATGGGAGTTCTCAAGAGCTGAGGTTATGGAAGGCAGACCGAGCCCACAGGTGCAGACCACGATGCAAATGCAGTAATGCGCATCACTTGATCAGAAGACGGTGAAGTAGTGGTGAGGTGGTGGAATGTCTAGAACAAGCTCCGGCCCCGTTAGCTCACGGCAACCACTCGTCGATCCGAGGGAAACGTCGGGCGAGGGGGAAGGATCCGACCGGACACTACAGAAGGCGAGAAGAGTTGGTGGTCTCCAACAACACGTATTCGTAAGTTCTTAACCGGCGCCGTTGTCTGTTGGGGATGGAGACCGGTCCATCAAGAAGCCTTCAGGCTCGAGCGCTCAGGGGAGGGGAAAGAGAGGTCCAATGAAGCGAGCCCACGTCAAGCAAACAAGAGCCACAGGCAAGGTCGCAAGAGTCTAGCGTGGATAAGCCGAGAGAAGAATCCGGGGAGGAGGATGCAGGCGGTTTTGCGGTGGGGAGAGCGCAGTCGGTTGGCGGTGCACAACCGTTTTGGCGTTGACCGCTGTAAGCCCAGTCAGCTCGCCAGGGATGTTGATGGACGAAGACGAGATGCAGAAAAGAGCCAGGGTTGATGCAGACTGTCAAGAAGTAGGAAAACAAAAAGATGCGGCGACAAGAAGGAGATCAAGATGAAACGAAGCTCTGATTCTCGATCCTCCGGTGTTGCTTCCGGTCGGTGACGATACCGGGATGTGACGGGGTTGGAGGAAAATTACCCTTTAATTTGGGCCTTGAGGCAAGTAATATTTGTCACAATCTCAGACACACAGCCATCATGATGACTTCATCACACCCAACCAAAGGTTACTCAGCAACTCACAACCAGGCAAAACTTCGGCCCCAAAAAAGATGATCCTAGCTTATAATAATATGACAGAGGCTTGAAATCTCTCATCGATTCAAACTCGGCTCTTTCATTATTGGCTCTTACTCTATGTACAAGACCAGTGTATCTACCCAAACATGAGACTAACCCAGAGTCAACCAACACCAGCCGCCTCTAACCAGTAGCAGCGCTTTATATACAGACCCTCATGGGACAACAATAAACAAGGGAAAAGATATAATTAGAATAATTCGTCTCGAAGGACGGCCACAAACAAGTGATTAAACGATATTGTACACCCGTTTCGCAATCAGGAATGAGGCGAAGGCGAAAAGAACCAGGCCAGCGGTGACTGGAACGAGCAAAGTTAGCTATGTATTCCAAATTCTGCGAGGTGAAGGTAGAGTGTTTCGTACTCGAATAAAACCAAGTTAAGCTATCGACTTCTTGTCCTGGTACCTTGACGTTCATCCCCCACATACCACAGATGATATTGAGGGGTAGAACGATAGTTCCAAGGACGGTCAGCTTTCCCAATACATCTGCAGTCTGCTCCTGCCGCTCGTTCATGTGAATGTTGATTTGCGCTAGGTAGTTGCTATGTGCGCGTGACAAAAGTCTACAAAAGATGCGTTAGTCCAAGTTTTAGGCAAGGGGCTTGAAAAACCATAGGGGCCTAAAACGTACGTCTCGTAATATGTCAAGCTGCTGGTCATCGTCATGATATGGTCTTGGATGTCACCCAAATACAGACCAATCTCCGATTTGGGCGCTACCTCCCAATGCTCGTTGCATCGTTTGGCAAAGCCCTTAACAACGTCTGCCTTGTTACTCAATAGTCGATACAACCCCATAACCTTCTTGCGGCACACACCCACACGCCGTAACATCTCACCAGGGCCTGGGACCTCATCTTTGTCTTGCTCGTCTTTCGGGCTCGAAGTTGCAGGGCCTTCAGCGGAATGCATTTTCATGATCATCTCATCAATGTCATCAACTTCATCCTCGATTGATTGAATCAGGGGACCAAATACGTCGGTGATGTCATCAATGAGAGCATATGATATCCAATCCGAGCTCAGGATCAAGTAGTCCATCAGTTGTCGGACGCGTCGACGTACATTTGCGGGGTGAGGCGTTTGCGAGAAGTGGAAAGACAGGATTCCCTCGCGGAAGACGACAACGTACATATTTACTGGCTCCAAGTAGTTTTCGCTGTTTGGGTCCTGCTCAAACGTGCGATAGTTTAAGAAGTAGTAGTTTCGGAATAGCTCGACCTTTTCGCGTGCTTCCTGCATCATGATGTCCTCCGCTGTTAGAGCGTGGATGCCGAACGCTTTGGATATCACCCGCATTTCTGCGTCAGTCGGACATAGGACATCGAGCCAAAAGGTGGGTCGAGGCCCGTACCGTTTAGGTTTCGGAGGAGTTTGGGCCTGATCTTTCGGCATGTCGCCCGACGCTCGTCCATCTGACACCGCTTCACTGATAAGCGACCCACGAAAGTGCGCTCTCTCCTCAGCTGGCGGATGCAAGTCATGATTGTTGGATGGTGTCACCGTTTGACTATGGTTCGCAGTACGGGAATTCGGCGTTAGGTGGTCGCTAGTCCGATGCTCCGAGTCTGATTCTTCCTCATCAGAGGAGTCCTCAAGTTCAGGTGGATCGGGGATAAAGAGTTCACGGAAGCTACTTCCTGTTTGAACCAGTTCCGGGATCGTTTGCGCATGGATAGTGCTTTGAAATTCCTCATTGAAGTACGTGAATCGATAAGGTACCTCATCCTCCTCACGCCGCCAACCTCGGAACTGGGGACGGAGACGACCCTCAATCAGCATAGGCTCGCTAATCTTTTTTGTTCGGAACACGCCTGTCCGCCCTTCCTTTTCCTCATGGGCCCAATCTTCCAAGACCGAAAGATCCGGCCATTCCTTTGCTCGTCGTCTGCGCCGCAGGTCTCCTCGTGATAGCGCTGGCGCGCATTCTTCCGCTGCCTCAGAGACATCCTCCTGTGGGAAGCAAACATCCTCTTCCGCTGGCACAGTCCGACGTCTCAATAGCCCTTCCTGAGGTGTACGGTGTGGTGACGCTGGAGCGGATCCCGGTAGGCTTTTAGATTGTTGGCCGGTTCCCTCCACATCGATCACCATATCGCGCGGCCGAGACTCATCACGTTCATTATCCATAAGTCTGCCAGCGCCAAAGTCAAACTCCGCGCCGGTCATAACTGCATCATTGTAGCCCATTTCCGGGCCCAGCTTAGGGGTCGAAGGCATGGACGGCGGATTGTTGATGTCATGGCCCGGAGCCTCACGAGGCGAGCATTGGGATGAGTCGGACCAAGTCGATCGGTGTCGCTGGCGGAATGTAAACGGACTGGGTACAGAATCTGCTCCATAACCTGGTGTCTTGGTACGGCTAGACGATGGTCTCATTAATGGTGTTCGATCGTCGACCTCTTCGTGGTCGCTATCCTCTGCATATGCGCTCTTCCCGCGAGGCTGGAAAGGGCGAGCATTCATATCGGTGTTTCGAAAAGAAGTCGGTATCGAGCCGGGACGGAAAGATTGAGTCAATCGACTATCTCTCCGCGGTCTCATCATCGGTTGATTTCTATATTACGACCAACCCCACTATGTTAGTTAAAGATGTCTTCTCAGGGAAATCCCCACAGCCATTTTGACAGGTACGTACCGGTGATCTAGCAAAGCCTCACTTTCTAAACTTGTACTGCTTGTATTCGCCCCGAGTCTATAGAAAGGGGGCGGGCTTTGAGTTTGAGTCTCATTTTCCGCCAGCGTGTCCATGGGCGCAGTTTCAGGGACAGTAGGTGGAGCGTTGGGCTGCGAGTCTTCAGGAGCAAGGAAAGATGGCCTGCGATTTCGATGCTTCCGATTGCGATTTCTCTTCCGCTTGGTTTTCTTGCTGCCAGATTCGGTATTCTGTTGCGTTTCCCCTAACGGTAGATTATCCAATCCCGATGTAGTGGAGGCTCTTGCAGGTGCGCCGGGGGAATGGCCCTCCCCTGAGGATGGCTTTCCCGCAAATGGCGAGCTGTGGTGTGACGTCGATTGCGGGCGAGGCATTGTGAGGCTTGACAGCTAAGCTCGGCCTCAATGGCCAATCGATTATCCAATTCTATTGGTTAGAAGGACCAGCTCGAACGCAGAGTGGCCAGCGATGCTGGTGGGTATACGGGGAGGATTAAAAAATTGCCAATTATGGGTCATGCAGTTAAGATGTGACTAGTAAGATTGGCTTGATCATTGTCAGGGACAGCTCAGCAAAGCCCCAGATGAGAAGCAGCAAAGGCCAAGGGTGCTGCGAGTCAAGCGTGGTGGGACACGGGGCACACAGAATGGCGGGTTTGAAGTCCGCTTCATGAAGAGATTTTATGGACTAAGGCTGAAGCAGCAGACGAATCAACTGGATTGGATAAGAGCACACGACGGGGCATTTAGCAAGGCCAGCTCCAAGTTTTCTCAACTCGAAAGTTGGAAGACCTGGCGTTGACGAGCTTGAATCCCAGTCATGTGATTGCGGTGGCCGATTGTCAGACGATGACGTCAGAGCACCCCTGTCAGCCTGACGGCCTGGTGGAGCAACCATTTTGTTTGACTCTGTATCCGTATCGTTTTGCGGTATCCCCGCGGACGCGTGAACAGGATGTCACATTAACAGGTGGACGATGGCGGCCAGTTTTTTTCTTGCCGAGCTGCTTACTCGAGTTCTTGACTAAAGGGGCGCGGCGTGTTACGGAGGTCCCTGGTTGGGATGATTATATTAAGAAAATTAAAGTATCTCAAGTGGATAGAACATCAAACCTTGGTTGCGACGCTATTGTTCCGACTCCATGAGCGGAAAGAATTAAGAATCGGCGTGCTCTTCGTAGATGGCCCAGTGTGTCCGTCGTCTGCATTAACTTTAGGTGCCAGACGCACTTTTGCCTTCCGCTTCTTGTACCACCACCAACATACGATAACTAACAATGTAAGAGGAATTGTAAACACTATCCAGAGCCACCATAATCCTGTGACATGGATATGCCAACTGTTTTCCGCCGCAACGAATATACCAGCATCTAAGATTGTCTGACCAGCGGTATCTAGTTAGCAGCAGCTCATGATGGATACAGAGATTCTGGCGAAACTCACTGCTATAAATGTCCCCGGGAGAAATGCCATAGTCATCGCAGCAATTGCATTCATGCTCGTGCTGTCTCGCTTCATGCTAGAAGCGATCTGTATATTACTGGCGGCATCCTGCTGTGTCACGAGGTTGTACACTAGGGCCATAGTGCTATCTTTGCGGTTCTTGTAGTTCAAAAACCATATTTTTTGCTTCTGCATGGATTCAATCACGTAAGTAATTGAATCCGCTGCTCGTTCGTGAATCTGTTTGGGGCTGGATATAGCCTTGTGTAAACGGTCATGGACGGTACGTATCGCTGTCGCGGTTATGATAGAAACATCTGCATTCCCAATGTGGGAGTCCGCGTTTTGGGATATTATTTGCAGCTGTTTTGTCAAATCACTCAGTTGGCGTCTGTCGCTATCTTCCAAGCCCGCTAGGTGGTCGTCGACTTTGTTAACCTGAGTCCACATGAAGCGTCGGAACTTTTGTGCATGAAATTTCGCAGCCTCGAAAGATAATGTCGAAAGTATCACGGCAATGTCAAAGGGGTCTCTGAGGAATATGCTAGCCCTTCGGCTAGCATTAGATGTTTCCACGGTGGTGTCTAGAATGTCGCATAAAACACGTATGCTAGAATCACCCTCCTTGTGGGAGATAATATATGTCGTGAGGTTCAAGACACTATTATAGCGCATGCACACCGAAAGAGGTGCACCTTGGAAGTGCAGGTTCCAACGTGGATGCTGACAGAAAAAGTCTGAGAGTATTCAGAGATAATTCTCGACATTAGCGAGGCCTGGTGAAGAGACGTACCACAGGCTAAAAAACCGCCATTTTCGTCCGTTTCCCATCGAGTTTGCGGGGCCCAGTAATCGGGCCGTCCCAGCATGTTCATGATGAATAACGGGTTGATGCTTAATGCCCGGAATAATTCATTTGTATTGGACTGGGTCATCGCGATTCGACTTCCAAACGATGTATTCTTTGCTGGTATGAGTGGGACAAAACTATTGCAATTAGTTTAGGGATGCGTAAACGAGAATAAGACATACAATGCAAGTAGTCTTCGTGGCCTTAGATCCGCTCGCTCATTCGGCGCAGGAGCTCGAGGGGTTGACACTTTCTTTGATAAATTGTAAATTCATTGAGCTCAGTGCACAGCTGCGAATATTTCTTACCTGCAAAAGATCCGAGAACGACTCAGTATCCAGAAGACGCCATACTTGATGCTATATATTAATGGCGTGAACAATGACAGGACAAGGGCCTAGCATACTTGATTTATTCCCATCCGAGTCAAAACACTTAATAAACGAAATGTCAGAGAAGTTTCTCTTGTTTGAAAAGTGCTTATGATGCTGTGCAGCGGAGAAGACATCTTGAAGTGACTCAAGGCTATCGATCGGATAGTCATCGCGGTCCAGGGCGAGGTCGAAATCTAAATCGTTCGAATTCAGATCACCAGCCTGAGCATGGCGATTAACATCTTTCATCTCCAGCGAGTTCTGCCGCGGTAGCACTTTGGCATGATTGAAAGAAGCCTCAAGGCGGGAAAACTGAAGGGTGTCCTGTTCAGTCATTTTGGGTTGGGGAAGTTTCATGGACCGGAGTTGCTTCCTGATAGTTGAAAGTATGCGCAAATGGACATATTGCAGGATATTTATGCTGGTATAGAGGTGCCGTATTAGAGAGTGCAAATATCCTGCATCTCTATCAGCCTCGAGCCTGAAGACTCAGGAGTGAAGTGACTCTCCTGGTCACACCGACAGCCAGGGCAATGAACGAACTTTTCTTTTCTTGCAAAAGCAATAAAGGCAGCCAATCATAGGCTTCAGCTTCAAGCCCCATGTCAAGGCTGGGACTCCAACAAAAAAAAGAGGATTTGATACCTGGTCATGGCCACAAATGGGGCAAACGTGCCGAGACACTACCTCTTGACAGCCGCGGGACGAATACGAGGACTCACATCTTGTTGGCTGGAAGTGAATCAGGGGCCCTTGGAGGTCACTTTTGACGGGTCCCCTGGAAAAAAATACAGGTGAGGATTGCTCTTGTTCAATCCTCGATTTATCAATCCATCAGTGGATGGTGTTTCCGCCTGGGTCACAATGATGTATAGATGACTGGCATGGCGGACCAATCGAGAACAAAGCCTGGAGTATCAATATCAGATTTCTCTTCTGGCCACCTGCAAATCATCGGTGCACGCTTCTCGCAAAGACTCAAGGCTGCTGGTGTTTACTTCGTATGGATGTTTGGTTGAAACCAAAGCCTTAGGCACCAACAATGTCCAATGCCGCCAAGTTTCTCCGTTCCGGACATCAATAATGTCACCATCCACGATACGAGATGACCAGCTTCACCCCCTCCATTTGAGATTTGGCTCTTGTAGAAGAGCATAGCAATTGAGAATGGCTCCTGTGATAGATTATGGCACGATATTGTCAAAATTCGATGACCTCGTTGCGAGGAAGGTCATATACTACGGTCAGCGCGCATCAACCCAATTCGTCGACGATGGGTTTACGGTGAGGATCGCGCCAGGGAAGGCAATTTTCTGAATGCTGATCGAATGCAGGTCGAATTCCACATTAGCACTTCGTTGTCCAAAAAGCCACAGAATGGCGATCCTGTGAGCGGCCATAACAGCCCAAATTCCAAAAAGCCAGAGTGCTTCGGTCCAGGCAGTGATATCGGGAACGACGATCCCGGCATGCTTCTTGCGACAGTCCATGGAACCCATCTGCTTGTAGTCAACAAGTTCTGCATGTTCCGGCCGCAGCTTCTGCTATTAACAAGCGACTCGTACCGGCGGCAGCGTGAGCCGCTTGGTTTAGATGATTTCGCCGCCGCCTGTACGGTGTTGAACTCCCTGGAAAGACCGCAGTTTGTCATCTACAACTGCGGGCCAACTGGTGGTGCTAGCAGGCAGCATAAGCACCTGCAGGTACTGACGCGTCCGCCTCGGTTATTCCCAGATAATCCGAGTGAGGCCAAATCTGTGCCGTACCAGTATTTCCTGCAGTATCTTCACAATGTTGATATTGAAACGCCAGAGGGCCAGAAACAGGTTTTCGATATATATAGCAACTTGCTAGCAGAAGCCAGGAAGTCTTTGGGAGATAATGTTGAAGATGACGGGGCCTACATTCCCCATAATGTTGCCTTGGTTAAGGAGTGGATCGTCGTGATCCCCAGACGTAATATTGATTTCCAGGGCATCACTGCGAATACTGCGGGAATGTTGGGTTCTATGTGGTTGACAAGCGAAGAACAAATGAATGAGTGGAAACAGGTCGGGCCAAAAAAGGTTCTTGCTGGACTGGGTGTGCCAGCTTGAAAATCCACACCTTTTGGATGCATATAGATGATCTCCAGCGCATATTCAAGATCTTTTATATAGACACTTTTAATCATTGTCCAATCCTTCCGCAGAGAACAACATCCTCGCCAAAGGGATGCCACTGCACATCTTTAAGCCGTGAGGCTGCTATCGCGGCGCCAGTCTCATCAAATCTTCGTCTCGGAGATATAACCACACCTCCCTGGCCCAGCCAAGTCGGAGCAATTGTGATGATTACAGAGTTGACCAGCTGCTGAAACTGCGGCTCAAGGAGAGAATTGATAACCGAGCCTCCGCCTTCGATCATAACACTCTGGAGACCCTCCCTCTTCAGACATCGTAGCAAGTCACTCCAGCTAAATTCTTTTGTTTCAGTAATGTTAAGCGAGATAAACTTCCCTCCGTGTCTTTCCAGACGATCCCGTTTCTCTTTGGAAATTGAGGCCCCAGACCCAGTGATGATCCATGGAGCGCGGCCTCGACCCTCTCTCGCAAGAACAAGGATCTTCGACTCCTCATCAAACTCCCACCTCGCTGACGGATCGAGTACAATAGGCCGCGGTTGGCCCTGTAGACCTTCCCCTCCATACCCACCCACACCCTCAACTCGACAATTCAAGCCCGGATTATCCGCAACGGCTGTCCCAACGCCAACGAGGATTGAATCATGGCGAGAGCGGAGGTAATGTGTCATTGCTTTGGATTCAGGACCTGACAGAACTGTGCGGGTTCCTGGGGAGAGTGCGAGAGAGGAGTCTAGCGAGGTAGCGAATGTGAGTGTTGTGTATGGGAGGTCATTATCAGAGCCATGGGGTGGGAGATATGGCTGTAAAAATGTGGATTTTGAGGGAGGGAAGTGTAAGGCATCCATCTTGACAAGGTAAACTTGAACAAAGCACGGAGAGGGTGAAGAAGTGCAAGCTATATATATGGGTCAAGGCGGGATGACGCTTATGCCTGAGGCATTAATATTCTCGCTTCGTCCTAGTTAGGATTAGCTCGAGCTGCATAAACACGACAACGACAGCAATTCGACCATGAACGCAGTCCCTTTTTAGCGATTGGAGTTGATTTTTGAAAATAAAATCGGTATATTTGAATATTGTAACACTATTTGCGGAAGAAATCATGAAGACACGGAGTTCTCACGGAGCATATATTGCATACAACTATCTATAGCTTCGCAACAGTCTTCCCCCCAACTTCCAACAACTCCGCAGCCTCCTCGACCATGTCTGCGACAATTTTTCCAGCAGGGAGTCTCTCTCGCACAAGCCCCGCAACCTTACCCATGAGGACTGGGTGCGCATTTTCCAAAACCTCCTCATCATCTTTCTTGGTTTCCATGTCATGAGCCAACGGAATGATACCCTTGTTCTGCAACTGCAACATCTCCTCCCGGCGCTCAGTTTCCCAGCGCTGGATATACGGCGTGGCCTGGGTGTTGAGCGGCCGGCCAGAGAAGATAGTTGTGCGAATAATGCCGTCCAAACCAGCCTCCTGTAGCGCCTTTTGGTGGAACTTGGACGCACCAGACTCCTCCGAGAGAATGAACCGCGTTCCAACCCATACGGCGCCAGCACCAAGCATGAGTGCTGCTGCGAGGGTCTGTCCATTGTAGATGCCCCCCGCTGCGACTAGCGCTACCTGGCGACCGGTGAAGGGGCTGATTTTGCCGCGAAGAACCTCTGCCACGGCGGGAATCAGAACGAGGGTTGGGATGTCACCGGTGTGACCTCCTCCCTCGCCTCCTTGAGCGCAAATCAGGTCAGCTCCGACCTCGACGGCTTTGATGGCGTGTTTGGGGTGTCCGATCATGTTCATATACAGGACGCCTCCCTGGTGAAGACGGTCGACTGCCCATTTTGGAGGAATGCCGACGGCGCAAACGAAGAGTTTAGCACCACTTTCGATGATGATCTCAATGAGTTCGCCGAGCTTTCCGTGAGAGTAATCATAGCTGATGGACAAGTTAGCGGCCGGCCTAGTTCTTGAACTTGGGGACGTACTTGGTTTTGCGGGCGTTCCCGCCAACCTTGGGGATAAGAAGGTCGACTCCGAACGGTGCGTTCTTGTCTACCAGGTAGCTCTTGAGCTCTTTGAGAGCCTCTCGGAGAAGCTCAGGCGTGTATGCGACGCCTCCGATCACTCCAAAACCTCCACCGTTGGTGACGGCTGCTGCGAGCTTCGGAGAAGCAACATTGAACATGCCAGCCAGGAGGACCGGGTGCCGGACACCCAGGAGCTCTGTAACATTAGTGTTGATTTGTTCTGCAGAAGTCAGCTGGTGCTATCGGCATCTAGCAGCGTCTAGTGCCTGGGATTTACTCCGCACAAGGTGGGGTAAAGCAAGGGCTTAAAGGACGTACATACTTTGAGGAGCCATTTTTGGGAGAATATAGTGCAGCCAACTCGAAAAAAAAAAGGCAGCCGAAGAAACAAACAACAATTACTCAGACATATATATGAATTACTGGCATCGTGCACACGCGCCAGGATCTTCCCCGCGCTGGGAGTTCCCGAGAACCGAGATAGAGAATCCACACTCCGCTCGCACTCTCGGTGGGAGAAACAATCCCTCGGCAACCCTGCGGCGGGAATAAATAAGCCGGACAAGCACATGGATTTCTGAATCCGTCGGCCTGCCACCTAACCGATATTTCCCAACGCCCAATATGTCGAATGTAGCAGAGATTCCCATCCTGGTGGGCATTGGCGACATCAACGATCGCGAGTCCAAGGGGCGAGACGATGCCGCCGAGCCGCTCACCCTGATGCTGCGCGCTATCGGCGCAGCCATCCAAGACACCACGCTCCCTCCAGAGGCTGCGCAGAAGCTGCAATCTGCCATTGAAAGTATTGGCGTCGTCGCGAACTGGACCTGGCCTTATCCCAATACTCCGGAGCTGCTTGTGCAAAGACTCGGGTTGTCGGGTACCGTTCACACGACCGAGAGTCATCATGGAGGCGATTCTCCTGGCCAATTCTTCGACGAGGCCGCACGACGAGTCGCGTATAAGAAGAGCAAGGTGGCAGTCGTGACGGGCGCCGAAGCATTAGCCTCCTGTTCGTGTTCCGAAGGTGGCATGTGGAGTATAGGATAGTGCTAATAGTAGTAGTGGAAGCTTTCAAGAAATCGAAGAAATTCCCTCCCCAGCATTGGACCAAACTCGATGATCACACTTCAATATGGGATCGGAAGCGACCAGAGGGTTGGTCTTGTTAACACCTATATCGTGGACTAGAGAAGCTTACACTTGACCAGATCTGGGAACCCGGCATATGCTCGGGGCGCCGATTCAAGTATACCCCCTCTACGAGGCAGCCTTCCGAGCGCACCTCCAACAGAAGCTTTCCGATAATCACAAAGAGTCGGCGGACCTATACGCCGATTTCGCCCAAGTTGCTGCCAAATCACCTTTCTCGTGGTCACACGGTCAAGAACCGGAGACATCCGAATCAATAGGGGCAGTGACAAAGCGCAACCGCATGATCTGTTCGCCATGTCAGTAGCCAGCCCCAGAGGGCCTGTGGACATTTCTAACAGTATCCAGATCCCCTTCTCATGAACGCATTTAACACCGTTAATCTGGCCGCCGCCTGTATTATCACCACGACAACCTTCGCCCGTGAACTAGGGATCCCAGAGTCGAAGTGGATATACCCACTGGGAGGCGCAGGCACAAGCGACGGCAGCCGATGTACGTTCCATTCAATCTAAAACATGAAGATAGTTACTGATTTTCTAGTCTGGGAACGGCCATACTTCCACGCCAGTCGCAGTCTTTCGCAGTCTCTCGACGCAGCCCTAAAAGCGTCAGAGGTGCGGACGGAAGATATCGACCTTTTTGACTTTTATTCGTACGTCACTAGCCAACTTCCTGTCATAATCTATGTTGTACTAACTTCAATTTCAGATGCTTCCCCATCGTCCCCAAACTAGCAGCCCACCACCTCGGCCTTCCCCTCCACGGCCCCAAACCTCTCACCGTTCTCGGAGGCTTAACGTCTTTCGGCGGTGCAGGAAATAACTACTCCATGCACGTATGTTTATGCCTTCCCACCCCAAATCCCTGCCTAACCAGCCGTACTAATTCGTGTATATAGGCAATCACCGAAATAGCCCGCCAACTCCGCACGCGCAAGCAATCCCCCAAAGCACAAAACGGCCTCGTGCTCGCCAACGGCGGCGTCCTCTCCTATCACCACACAGTCATCCTGTCCACCCAGCCACGGTCAGACTCAGGATACCCTATGTGGAACCCTCTATCCTCCCATCTAGACGAGGACCACCCCGCCATTGAAGAACAAGCAGAAGGGAGTGGTGTTATCGAGGTAATTCCTTAACCAAAGCAATTATACCGTCATATATATATATATATATATATATACTCTATATACTAACAGAATACAGACATACACGGTGCAATTCGGGCGCGACGGATCCCCGATTCTAGGCTTCGTTGTAGGCCGTCTTCTCTCCGGTGCCGGAAACGGGGGCCGATTTGTCGCGAATGTCCAAGACGCCTATACGCTACAGCAACTGTGCAGCAGCACTGAACAAATCGGGAAACAGGGTTGGGTCACGACCGAGGGCGGCCGGAACCTATTCGTCTTCAAGCCGTCGAAGATATAGCCCGGTGGAGTCTCAGACCCAGACTGGACCTGGACTCGGAAAAATATCCCATCCATGCATGATCGGGCAAGGGCCATCTGTACCTAGGCTGTGGATTCGCGTCAAATAAAGCAATAGAGCCAATTATCGTATAGTGCTGGGAGGGTATTTTGGGTCCCTGGTTGTTTCACAATATACGACATTAGTAATCGTCGATTGTGCCATCGAATTAATAATATGTTTGATTGGGGGCTGAATAGACTATATAGGCCCAGGTCTACTGTAGAGGTATACCCTGCTCTATATTCAAATCAAGCGTCCCTTTCTCTTATCTACATCAGCAGTGTCATCAGAATGACCGCCGACGTAGTAATCCACAACCATGCCGCACCAGGCATATCCTACTACACACCAGCCCAAACACCCCCAGCAGGGACTCTACAGCCTCAAGATCCAACCTCAGATCCAGACGCATCAAAGAAAGCACCCAAGCTCTTCACCCCGCTCACCATCCGCTCCCTAACGCTCCCCAACCGCCTCATCCTCGCCCCCCTATGCCAATACTCCGCCGACTCCCGCACCGCACAAGCAACAGACTGGCACCTCACACACCTAGGCGGGATCATCCAGCGCGGCCCGGGGCTAGCGATAATGGAAGCGACAGCGGTGCAGCGCATCGGACGCATAACGCCCCAAGACCTGGGGCTTTACGACGACGCCCAAATCGCGCCGCTGCGACGCATCACGGAGTTCGCGCACAGCCAGAGTAAGGCGATTGCTATCCAGCTGGCGCATGCGGGGCGCAAGGGGAGTGCCGTTGCGCCGTGGCTGAGCGGGAATGCGATGGCGGTCCCTGAGGTGGGCGGGTGGCCGACGGAGATTGTGGGCCCGTCGGCGATTGCGCAGGAGGAGGGCGTTAATAATGTGCCTAGGGAATTGAGTGTGCGTGAGGTTGGGGAGTTGGTGGGTGATTTTGTGGCTGCTGCGAGGCGGGCTGTGGTTGCCGGGTTTGATGCCGTGGAGATTCATGCTGCGCATGGGTATTTGCTGCATCAGTTTCTGAGTCCCGTCAGCAATAGGCGAACTGACGCGTATGGAGGCACCTTTGAGGGGAGGGTGAGGCTGTTGCTAGAGGTTTGTGAAGGGGTCAGGGGAGTGATCCCAGAGAGGATGCCACTGCTTGTGAGGATCAGTGCGACGGACTGGTTCGAGTTCGATGAAGGGCTGCGAGAGGAGTTTCCAGAGAGCTGGACGGTCGCGCAGTCTGTGCAACTTGCTGGACTGTTGGCCGATAAAGGCGTTGATCTGGTGGACGTGAGCTCTGGGGGAGTCCATGCCAAATCTGCAATTGCGATCAAGTCCGGCCCCGCGTACCAGGTACATTTTGCGCAGGAGATCAAGAAGGCAGTTGGGGATCGGCTGCTGGTTTCAGCAGTTGGAGGGATCAAGACGGGCAGTCTGGCTGAGGATGTGCTGCAGTCTGGCATCGACGCTGTGCAGGCTGGACGCTGGTTCCAGCAGAATCCAGGCCTCATACGCGCATTTGCCAACGAATTGGGCGTCAAGGTCAGGATGGCGACCCAGATCGACTGGAGCTTTGAAGGCCGTGGAAGGAGAAGTAAAGCATAGAAGTATATATAGGAAGTACTGTACACTCAAGGCCATCTAAAGCTTAGAACCAACCCACTCTGGCTTCTGCTTCTGCGCAAACGCCTGCAATCCTCTCTTCAAGTTCTCCCCCTTTATCAACTTCGATCCATATAGCTCAGCTGTAGCCCGACTTGCTTGCTCAACAGACCCAGTCTCCCACGCCTCCCTCAGTCCATACCGAGAAACAATCACCGCATCCGGACTAACATCTGCGATCCTGTTCGCAAGCTCAATCGCGTCACCAAGGACCTTCTCCGGAGACGCTGACACCTTGTTGATCAACCGCAAGGACTGGGCTTCCTGCGCGCTTATCCGTCGCCCTGTAAGGGCCAGCTCGGTGCCAACTTGCATGCCCACGGTTCTGATGATCCGCGCAAGACCCCCGGCGCCAGCATATAGCCCGCGCTGGACTTCGGGGAGAGAGAATTCAGCTTTCGGGGAGGCAACAACCATATCACTACATTCCAGAAACTAGTATTAGCATCAAAGTCAAGTTAAACAGGAAAAAGGGAGGGATAACAATCTCACCAGTTCAAGCAAATCTCAAACCCCCCACCGAGCGCCAGGCCATTAACGGCCGCGATAACGGGCTTCTTCCCCCTGCGCTGCGAGATCCCCCCAAATCCATTAGGCATGGGCTCGCGTCTCGTACTCTGCTGTTCGCCTCCACCGCCTGCATTCTTCCCAGCCGAGTCGGTCTGAGTCCTTATATCCAACTGCTCGAGTAGATCCGCGCCTGCGGAGAATGCCTTCCCCCCAGTTCCTGTGATGATTCCTACGCGCAGAGACGGCTCCTCGTCAAACCAGTTCCAGATCGCGTACCCGTCTTTGTGGCCTTGGGTTGGGATGGCGTTCATGCGCTTTTCGCGATTGATTGTGACGAGGAGGATGTGCGGTGATGGGAAGGACAGGGTGAAGATGGACGATTGAGGCGGTGGGGTTTGGAAGTTTTGCGACATTTTGGGCTTTGGCGCGTGGCAGTGTATTGAGGATTGGTGAGTCTTGTCTGGTTAAGCTGTCATGTTGAGGGACAGTGGTGAAATGATTTATGAGCATTCCAGAATGTCAGGCAGCTTTGCCCGAGGCAGCTGAAGCTTCCCCGGTACCCCGCATACAAATGCCGAGGAACTGAGTCAGTGCACCACTCAACATTAAACCGAATCCAAGAGGTAGCAGTTAGATTAAGTACGTTATTATGGCGGAATAGTTAAGCATACGACGGCCTTAATCAATAAATAGAGAATTGTTCCGAATCAATAATTATGTACACAAGTACAGCCGTAACCTCATAAGTTCTAGAAGAGAATCATAAATCATAATAAAACGGCCAAAAACATAAAGAAAGCAAATAACCCATTAGTATATCATTCCATATCCATCGACGCCATAACCAGATATCATTTTCCCTTCCCGAGAAACGACATGTTTGAGCTGGAGTGAGCCGAGTAATGGTCTAGTGTGACGCCTAGATCACATTACTCATGCTCATATTCATGCTCATGTCCATGGTGGACGGCGCGATGCTGTGCACCGACCGGCTGGCTTCAACAGACATGCGGTCGCCGCTGGCCATCTTGCTAAGTCGTTTATCCTTGCCTGGCCGAGCGACGAGCACCTGAGCCGGGCAGACGACAACTTCGTCTTCACCTTCACCGGCGTCATTCCCCTTCTTGACGACCAACGGGAACAGCACAACGCGGACGACCGTGTTCTGCGATTGGAGTTCCTCGTTAGAGGTGGTTTCGCCACTGCGTTCGTTCATGAGTGACGCGTTGAAGAATACTTGGCGGGCGAGGTCGCCGTTCGTGTCAAATTCAGGCTGCAACGGTGGAAGCATGATGTATTCTGCTAGTTGTGTGCGCATTTCGAGTGATAAGCTCACCGCCACGCGAAGGACCTTGCGCAGCGAGTCCAGGAGTTGCGATTCCACATTAGTTGGAGGAGGAAGAAGGCGGGAGAGCGTATCGAATATTTCCAGCGCGACGGCTTCAGTGTCGCTCTCGCGCTGCTTGGCGAAGGCTTGTCTCCGTGAGAGCAGAGTCAGCGTGGTGGCTCGCCAGCGGTGGATTGAGTTGCGTGGTCCAACTTCAATAAGCTGCTTCTCGAGCGACTTCAGTTTTTGTCGCTGTTCGCGGTCCATGCCGAACAGGTAACGGGTGAAGACGAACTCCCACACCATGGTCATGACAACAGACATAAATACGTCGCGCCGACGGACACGGTCGCCAAGGTAGGCATCTGTATCCGATCCATCTAGGATGGCATTGTCGAACCGGTCCGCAATTTTCTCATCCTTCACTTCGACGAGTCTGCGGCAGCGGCGGTGGTCGGAATGCTTCGAGAAGCGCAGAACCCACTGTTGCACGTGGCCGCAGAGCTTCTGGCATGCTGCCTCGAAGTATTCCTCACCTCGGAAGGCGATGACATTGTCGTTCATGGAGGCCGAGATTTGTTCTTGAAGTTCCTTGACTTTGTTTCGTGCGCTCTCAAGTTCCTCGCGCAGTCGACGAAGTTCCGCATTCTTTTGTCCCAACGCTGCTTCAATCTCTGTTTTGATTTGTTCGTGTACATCGGTAGACAGACGTTCGTTTTGCGACCGTAATTGCTCAACTTCGCGCGCTGCTGCTTGTTGCGATCTCCGGATTTCTTGTGCGTGGGTAGCAATGAGCGCGGTATTCGTGGTCGTTAGCCCTGTGTTTTCTTCGTTCAACCGAGCTACCTCCTTTTGGAACCATTCCACGGATTCTTGGAGTTGTTCGAGCTCCGCCTCCCGGTCGCGCAGATCGGCATCCCGTGTGTTGAGAGCCTGATCGCTCTTCCGACGAGCGAGGCTGGCATTTCGTAGTCTATCTTCGGCGGCATCGCGAGCAGCGGCAATATCACGGTTTTCTTGAATGAGATTCTCGAGACGGAATTCGAGTTCTTGAAGGTGTTGCATACTTCGGCGGTGCCGGATGCTGGCCGGTCGACTAGGCGACCGGGGCGAAGTCGGCGTCTCACCCCAGCCCTCCTACACGATTAGCATCAATACAAACAACCAAACCATCAAATCATCCAAAATTTCAAGGAATAAAAATTGTAGAACTTACATATACGTCTGTCATGCTGCGTACGGGCCTTTTGCCCTTGTCAGTGACGGGATCGTAGGATGAGGAAGATGCAATCTCTCCGACGTTCAGGTCGGTGGGACCTTGAGATGGCTGGGGGGTGGTTGGTCGTGATTGGTGCTCGCGTTCTGTTGCTGGCGCAACCGCTGGGCTGGCTGCAAGTGCTGCCGCTCGCAGATCTCCACTAGTGCTGTGCACGATCCGTCGCAGTGAATGCGTGCTGCTCGTGGCACTTCCAGGCCTGCTGCTTGGTCGGAGAACCGGCTTGTCTTGTTCTGGCGTTTTGAGGATTTCCGACCGTAGTCCTCGCTCTGGGGAGAGACCCTTTGGGCTGGGCTTCTGTATCTTCTCCCAGTCATCGTTCGAGTTATCAGGTGAAGGCCATGCTCGACGTCCCAGCGCAGTCTCCGTAAATTTCCTGACTGGAGTTTCTGGTCGTGGAAGTACATGCTCGGGTTTCATCTCCAGTCGGGGCGTCCCGTCCCGGACCATGGATCGCTCAGGTTCCTGTTCCGCGATAGGCGGGAGCTGCGTGGGAGGCGAGATATCTCGTGCCTTTTGAGCTTGCGCAGGCTCATCAAGAGACCAAGGTAGCGGTGGATGGTCATGTCGGCCGTGAATTGATGGTGAGCGACGAAGTTCACATGTATCTTGCTCAACGGATCGAAATTCCTCAGGCTCAGGAATCTGTGGTTGACGCTCCGATGTGAAGTCGGTTTTGAGGTTTGGAAGCTCCTTCGTAGACGTAGCCCCAAAGACATCATCTTCTTCAGCTGGGCTTGGAATAGTAGTCGGCTCAGCTGGTTGAGATTCCGGTTCCAAAATCTCTGGTTGACGTTTGGGTAGAGACTCGGCCTCAACCTTTGCATCTGGCAATTCTCTTGCAGTAGCACCGTATGCATCATCCTGAGCCAGTGCGGGACTAGCAATATACCCGCTATCCCTAACCTCCAGTTGTGGTTCTACCTCTCTGGCGATGGGAGCCTCCGAGACCTGGATCGCGCTGTCGCGACTCGCTGCTTGTGCCACGGTCTCTTCCTCAGCCCCATCTTTTACCGGCTGTGTTGGACTTGGTCGACGAAAGAGCCCTCGCTCAAGGTTGGGGAATATGTTGGCGATTTTGCTTGGCTTGGTTTCTTCCGTCTTCTTCTCATCTATAGACTCCACGTCGTGTAAGGTGTTGAGCGCCGAACCCGTGGTTGGCATGTTGAAGTCTCTTGTTGCGACATCTCGGTCGATAGTTCCAGTCACCGGTTGAGCTCTGCTCTCTTTGACTGCCTCCTCTGGAGTCTCTTCTGGCTGCTCCAGAAGGGCTTCGGGGATAGCAGATTCCTTGAACTCGGGAATCTCTGGCACAAATGCACCCGCATGAGCTTCGGGGGACGATTGGGAAGACTGTTCAACGGTATCGACCTTACCTTTCTCCCAGTCTATCGAAGGCCATGCGTCTTCATCTCGACGCTCTGTTTCTTGAACATCACCTGCCTCGAGGAATCTCTCGTGGGGTTGCTCTCCAGGCAGGCTGGCGGGTTCTGCCAACTGCTCGGGCTCGGGTTCAGGCTGGGATTCTTCAGTCTTTGCTCCCTTGCGCTTCTTCCTTTTCTCCTTCTTGGAAAGCTTCTTTGAGAGCGGAGGATCTTCGTTCTTGGGTGGCTCGGTTGCCGAATCCTTCGAGTTTTCATTGCCTGACGGAATTAGGGCCTCATTTCCTGGTTCCCGAGAGGTACCTGCTTCGTGTTCGATCATCGAAACGGGCTCCAATTCAGGCTGTGATACCGGGGTTTCCTTCACAGCTTCAATAGGTTCTTCTGTCACTACTGGCTCTTGTGGCGTGTCTGGCACCTCCAATGTAGCCTGTGGGACAGTGATGTTATCTTTGGGTTCTACCTCGGCTGCTTGCTGCTCCTCCTCAGGTTCCTCCGACGTAGCCTGTTTCTTGAGCTTCCTCTTCTCCTTCTTTGACAACTTCCTTGATACAGGCACAGATACAGTCTCGGGCTCAACTGAACGACTCTCGTCTGTATACGCCGCTATGTCGTCCTTTTCGACGGCGGGTTCAGCGTTCTGTGTCTGCATTTTGGGCTCCACCTTTTGCTCTTCTGGCAAAATATCCCTTTCAGCCTCATCTGCGATAATCTCTTGGACGGGAACTTCCCGCGGCATATCTGCTTGCTCTGTGTCCACTGGAGTCTCCGCGCTTCCCGTCTTCACCTCAGCTTCCTTGTGAGTGGGCTCCTCCAGTGCCATCTCTGCTTTCCTCTCATCATCCCCAGGTTCAGATGCAGCCTTCTCAGTTGGTTCATCTTGACTTCGCTGAACTTCGGAAGCTTCGACAGCTTCCACAGCAGGTAGACTTTCCGCTTCAGCAACGTCTGCTGGGTTGATATTCTCAACTTCAATTTCCGCATTTCCGGGGGCGGAGGACTCGTCTAGCTGTTCTTGCTCTTTGGCCTGCTTCTTAGCCTTCTTCTTTTTCTTCTTAGATTCCTTGCGACTCAGCATTGGCTCTTCAGGATGCTCCGCGGGAGACTTGTCTTCTGCGGGTGTCTCAAATGAAACCTCAGGTACGTTTTCAAACTGTTGTTCCCTGGTAGCCTCGGACTCCGTTGGCTCTTCCTTTTGAGGCTGAGGAGCACCTTCCTCAGCCCCGATGGTGACATCTAGCTGATCCTTGTGTTGGGTGACTTCTGATGGGGGTGCATCCTGCATTTGAACTTCGGGAACATCCCCAGTAAGGTCTGTTTCTACTGCAGCTTCAGGACCCATCACAGGAGGCTCTTCGTATGGGGTAATCTCACTTGCGTCTGCAGTTTGAATTAAAGCCTTCTTCTTGCTCTTCTTGTTTTTCTTTTTGCTTTTCCCAGTTGCAAGCTCTTCGGTTACAGACTCTTCGGAGTTTTCTTGAATTCCAGGCACATCGCGAGTTCCTAAGGCAGCAGACTCTTCATCGATGACACCCTCATCAACAGCTCGGGGGGTCTCTTCCGTCTGTTGTGTGACGTCTTCAGAGATAGGCAATGTAGTCGTGTCATGGGTAGACTCTGGAGCGGTGTGCTCGGGCTGCTGCTCTTCCATCGTAGTTAAACCAGCGGCTTCTTGAGTATCCTCGGCAACATCCCTTGACGGTTCATCTTGCGGGAGGCCGTCTTCTGGTATCGAAGCTGTAGCCTGCCCTTCTTCAGGGGCCGCGACCTCAGTAGTTAAAGGATCGTCTGTAGTCTCCAAACCTGGAACTTCTCGGCTATCTTCGGTAGCGGCCACTGTAACCTGTTCTTCTGGACCAGGATCTCCCGTCACTGTAGCCATTTTTTGGGCTTCTTCGGAAGCTGCAGGCTCACGGCTTGCTTCCTCTACAGTGACTGAATCCCCGGCTTCCGTCTCGGGCGTTGGTTCTTGTTTTTGTTCTGGCTCCTGCTGGGCAGCAGCCTTTTCCGCCTGACGTTGCTTCTTCTTCTGCTTTTTGCTCAGCTTTCTTGATGGGATAGCTGACTCAAGCTCGTCGGGATGGGCCGCTGGTTTCTCGGGCTCGGCTTCGATAGCTGGCTGTGAGACAATTTCTTCCTCTTTCCCATCTTCCATGGTGTTAGTTGCCTCAGGAGTGCTGACGGGAATATCATTGTCATCTGTCTTAGGTTCGACGGCCGTTTCCTCCAAAGCTTTGTTGTGCTCCGTCTGTGCCGTTTCATCTTGCACCTCTTCTACTTCTTGATTCTGAACCATCTCGATATCATTGCCACCTCTCTCTTCAGTAAAAATCTCATCCGACGGCTCAAGCTTGGCCGAAGCCTCTTGACCTTCCTCTACCACCTCATCTTCAGGCATGGTAGCCTCCACCTTCTCGGACTCGATTTTATGCTCGGACAACGGATCCGTGGAAGCCGTTTGCTGCCGCTCTTTCTCTACCTGCGAAGACATATCGTTATCAGTCCAAGTCAAATCTTTATCGTCGTCGCCGTGGTGTTCGGTGTCGTGGGACTGATTTTCTTTACCGTTATCTTCAACAGGCGAGATTTCCGTCTCGGCGGGTGCATCTGAGCCCAAAGTAGTGGGTTGCTGGTCTTTACTTGTCTCGCGTGCCACTTCTTCGGCTGACACCTCGGGGTCGCGAGGTTTGTCGTCGGACGGGTCTTGGGCGGTTTCGGTGGGAGTCGAGGGTTCGCTCTCGAGGGCTAGGAGTTTGGACTGGCGTTTCTTGTCTTTCTTGGCCTTTTTCTTTGCCTTCGCAGATTTGGGCTCGTCTTCTTCCTGCTTTTCGGGTCCTGGCGCAGGATCTTCTGCATGTTCTTGTACGGGTTCTTCGATTTCTTTAACATCAGAGGGCGCAACTGTGGCTTCCACCTGTTCTTGGACGCTGTCTAAAGACTCGGGAGAATCAATGGTCTCGTCCTCCTTCAACTCTAGTGTCTTGCGCTTCTTCTTTTTCTTATCCTTTTTCTTGGACGATCCCGTCTCTGGCTCTGCAACTTCTGCAACTTCGGGCGCGGCCTGGGGTTCAATCGATTCGGGCTGCTTTTCCAAATCGTCTATCACTTCAGCCTCGGCGACAGGAGTAGACTCCTCCGCCGGAAGCGAATGATCGGTCTCTTCTTTGACTACCTCCTCAGAAGGGCTTTCGCCCACACTGAGTCCCTCGCCCTGGTCAAGAGATTTACCGGCAGACTCCGCTTCTGCAAGGATCTCAGCTTGAGCGGGTGCTTCCTCATTTTGTTTAGACTCCCCGGCCACGTCTATCTCCGGCACTGCATCTGGGATGGCTTCACTTGGCTCCGCTGGTTCTAGCTCACGCTCTTGAGCTTCCACCTCTTTCTGCTTGTCAGCTGCTTCGGTTTCAACAGGAATTTCGGTTGGCTCTAGTTCCTTAACCTCTGCAGAATCAGTGTGCTTGACGGGCTCCGAAGGTTCAACATCTTGCTCAAATGTCTCCTCGGCTGCGAATGAGACGGACTTGCGCTTCTTCTTGTCCTTCTTAGCCTTCTTCTTCGAAGCTTTTGACTCCTCCTCGGCCGGGGGCAGATCCTGGGTCTCCAGCTCCTCTGACCCTGGCGCAGGATTTTCCTTAATAGGTTGAGTCTCCTCAACAGTAGGAGCAGCAGCAGAAACAACAGCAGCCTCTTCTGGTACAGTGGTCCACGCAGTTTCCGTGACCGGTTCAGCAGGTTTCTCCGAAACAGGCTCTGGTTCAGGCGCAGGTTTTTCCTCGTCAACAGAGGTAGACTGACTCTTCTTCTTTTTCTTCTTGTTCTTTTTCGTTGAGCTTGCTGTCTCAGTCTCTTCTGCGGGTTTCTCCTGCTCCTGAATCTCGGCATCTACTGGAGTTGGCACCTCAGCGAGGGAAGTTTCCTCCGTTTCTAGCTCGGGGATACTTCGATCCTGAGAACCGGAGCCATGCTGTTCGACAGAAGCTTCAGGAATATCTTCGGTAGGAACCGAGAGCTCCTCGGCCTTCTCAGTCTCTTGTATTTCTTGCATTGTGCCAGCAGGCTCCGGCTGAGACTCTGTCACCACTTCCTCTTTCGTTGCACTTTCAGTTGGCACATACTCGACCGTGGCTGGTGCATCAGAGGTAGGTAGTTCGGTAGGAATCACAGGGGCAGTGTCTTCATCCTTTACGGAAGTAGCCTCAGCCTCAGCCTCGGTCTCAACGGATCCAGACTGTCTCTTCTTCTTTTTCTTTTTCTTGTCTTTCTTCGAAGTGGGCTGAGTCTCTTCCGTTGGAGTTTCTAGAACAGGGTCAGTGGCAGTTTGAGTTTCCTCCGTAGTCTGTTGCTGGATGTCTTCCGTTGGCTCAATCGTTGTGGCATCAACATCAGAAGGTAAATTGTCCTTGGGCTGCTCGTTACCAGGCTGGTCATCGGTCCTTGATGAGGCTAAATCTTCTGCAAGCTCCCCGATATCTCTTGTGCTCTCACTTTGGACAGGCTGAGCATCCTCAAAAACGGGTTCGGTTGGCTCTTCGGGTACGGCAGGGACGCCCAGCTCGATAGCCTTACCTTCTTGTCCTTCTATGTCCGCTATTGCTGGAGGTTCTTCTTCAATGTGGCCGGTAGTTGTGTCCTGTGCAGGCTCTGGTACAGTCTCTGTGGTTTCGGTTGTTGGTGGTTCCGTTGCAACTAATCCATCCCCAGGCTGCTCCGAGATCTTCCCTGCCACTTGTTCACCAGGTAGCTGAGAGATTTGCTGTTCGCTTTCTTGCTCCATTGCTTTTGAAACAGCTTCTTGTTGGTCGGGAGTTACAACCTCCGGCTCCTGTATAAGCTCTTGAGCAGGAGCTTCGGCCAGCTCCTTTTCAACAACAGCCTCAGTAGCTGGGGTTTCTGATTCCCCAAGCAATAATGACTGGCGCTCCCTCTTTTTCTTTTCCTTCTTCGCCTTTTTCTTCTGAGCGGTTGTCATTGGCGGAGCGTCGGCGGCGTCCTGGCTTTCAGGAATAGCGACATCGCCCGATTCGGTGGCTGTTTCCACCCCACGCGACATTTCCTCCGTTGGATCTTGAGATGCAGTTGTCGAGGGTTCATCTGGAATTGTAGGAGCTTTGATAGGGACTTCAGGGCCGGCCTCCGTGGTGGGTAGCGAGGGCTCAGGGGCTTCTGGGCCTTCAACAACGTCGGGAAGCGAGGTTTCCTCGGGTGCGTTGGAAACATTTTGCTTGTCCTCCTTTGTGCTCTTCTTCTCTGTTGACGTTTGTTCCCCCTCCTCAGGGTCGATTGTTGGTTGCTCAAGCACATGTGGTCCGCGATCATTGGTCTCGGATAACTCCACCGGTTGACTTGGTTCACCTTCGATTTGTTCAGAAATAGTACCAGCAGTCTGAGTGTCGGCAGGCTCATCTTTGGTATCCACTTCATGTTGTTGTTGGGTGTCATCGAGAGGTGGCAATGTATCGCTTGTTTCAGGCCGAGTTGCAATGTCTTCGGGCTTCATTTCAGGCTCAGGGTCCAGCTGCGATTCAGAAGCGCTCGTGGATTTGCGGTTCTTCTTCTTCTTCTGCTTCTTAGTCTTCTTGGTTGATTCTTCCAAAGGCTCTTCTGGCACAGCATTTTCAGCAGAGGTGTCCTTGTCCTTTCCCAGAGTGTCATCCTGTTCTTGCTGCTTGGACTCTTCGGCGGCCGCAATGGCGGCAACTGCTGGCTCTGCTGGGTCCAAGGCCACCGTATCAGACGCGGATTCTGGTGCGACCTCTTCATTCTTAACTGACTCGGTTATATTCTCCTTGAAATCTCCAGAAATGTCTTCCCGCGGTTGAATTTTGGAGTCGTCTTCACCAGGAGGAAGTTCCCTTTCAACACCCTCTTCAGGCTTTGCCAAAGACTCAGGCTCGGGCTGAAGAGAATCTGCTGCCTCAGCTTCAGGCTCGGCTTCCACGGCACCCTTGCGCTTCTTTTTCTTCTTGTCCTTCTTGCTGGCCTTGCGTGAAAGTGGAGCATCAGCTTCTTGCTCCGGCTCGTTGGATTCAGGCAGAGGGTCGGTGTCGGCGGGAGCCGCAACATCGGCAGCTGTAGAGCTCTCTTGGGTTCCCTCGTCTGGGATATGCACTTGCTCAGATTCGGTAGCTGGTTGCTCGGCTGATACCGCAGGCTCATTGAGTTCCCGCTCAGGAGAGATGTCCTCGGGCACACGATCGAATGGTTCCTCAGGTGGGGCGTAGACACCCTCAGCCGCTTCAGTTGGTTGCAGAGGCTCCTCGGGCACTAATCCCTCTGGTTGTTCGGCTGGTTGTGCAACATCTTCAATTGATCGCGTGGCATCCGTCGGCTCCAAATCTTCTTCCCGCACCTCTGGCTCAGCGCTTTGAGAAGCAACAGGGTCTTCAGCTTGAGCAGACAACTCCTCAGTCGGTACGGCCTCTTCAACAGCCACGCCCACAGCGGCGGCGGCGGCGGCGGCGGCAGCGGCAGCCTTGGCCTTAGCAGCCTTCTTCTTTTTCTTCGCCTTTTTGGAGAGGCCCGCGTCGCTGGCAGTCTCTTCAGGCTCTTCAGGCAGAGTCGGCTCGGGATCTACCACGTTGCTCGTTTCCGTGGTCTCTAGGGGAATTTCTCGCGCAACTTCCTCTGCGGGCTGCTCAATAGACAGGGATTCCTCCATCGGGATGGACCGGTTCTCTTCACTTGGACGCTCGAGGTCGGTTGTCGGAGTTTGCTCGGGCACGGTAACGACCTCATCCAGTACGGGCGTTTCCTCTACAAGCTCAGGAACTGGGCCCATTTCAGCGTCCTCAAAATTATCGTCCGTATCAACAGAAAGTTTCCGCTCTGGCTCTGCGACCTGTCCCGCCATGCCTTCTTCAGCTGCAGGTATTCCGCTCATCTGGACCTGTTCAGGAGCCGGGGTCTGAACCTCGTCCTTCTTCTCATCCACTCCGAGTGTTAAAGGTGCGGGATCAAATGTTTGCGCCTCGAGTGACTTGTCTTCGCCCTGGTCGGTTACATCGATGCTCTTCCCCTTCTTCTTCTTTTTATTCTTTTTCTTTTTGGAAGAGGTCGATGGGTCGACATCTTCGGATTGCGCTTCGATGGCCTTATCAGTCACCCTGTCAGTCATTTCTGGCGCGGCTTCTGTAGGCCCTTGCTCGGTAACGGATGGTCCCTCCGTTTTTACAGCGTCGAGTCCTGGCTCAGATACCGGAACGGGCTCGGGCTCAGGTTCGCGGCGGTGGGGTCCAAGGTCTTCAGAAACTTCCCTTGGGACAACAGGTTCCGTGGGCTGAGCTGGAAGGTTCAAGTCCCATGCTTCCTCCTCATAACCAAGTTCATCCTGGCTCATAGCATCAAAGAACTCGTCTTCCGTTGTATCAGCAACAGACGGGGTTTTCTCATCTCCACTGGGCGTAGTAACAGGGAAGTCGCCTGGGAGTTGACGTTCTTCTCCAGGAGAGCCCTTATTCGCAGCAACAGCGGCACCAACAACGGAGGCAAAGCCCCAAGGCGCCGCACGCTCAGCGAACGAGTCATGGTATTCTCGCTGTTTTATTGGAGAGCCTGGCGGCGTGGCGTCAACGTCCTCTACAGCTGGCACATCATCGCCAGTGACGGTGCGAGCTGTATCATCGTCTTCGACATCGTAACGTTGAGCTTTTGCAAGGGCCTCGGCGTCAGGGTACGGAGCAGTGTCCGGATGTGCAGCGGCTACGGCGGCGTCAACGACCCCTGCGAAACCGGGGCCGCTGTAGAAATCTGGGACATCGGTCGCGGGAAGATATTTTTCCTGTGTGGGGGTTGTTGGCTGTTGCGCATCCCCGGCAGGAATAGCTTTGTCGTCTGGGGTAGTGGGGCGGGAGTCAGGGAGGGCAGGCAGGCTTTCAAGTTCCCGTGGTAGGCGGTCATCCTCTTTAACTCCAACCGTGGAGCTCTCAGCAGAAGGCAGGGCCTCCATTGCCGGGGATGACGGCAGATCGCCATATGAGCTTGATTCCTGCAGAAGTTCTGACGGAGAGTGGAACTCATAGCCTAGTTCCTGCTTCCGAGATAGATGGTGTGGAGGTCCGAACGTGGCACGAGTAGGAGTGTTTTGCTGAGAACCAAGAACTTCGTGTGGGCTATAGGGCTCCTCTGTTGGCTGACTAGTCTCTTGGATTTGACTACTGTGTTCGGCAGACTCCCAAGTGTTCTGATCTGGCAAGACCGTGAGATCCTCTGCAGATGCGCTCTTGCTTGATGGGAGAGACGGCAATGGCTCATCGCCAAGTTGGTCCTCCATCTTGCTTGAGCCATGGCGCTCCACTAAGAATAGAGGTCGAATCTCGCGAGAATGTTTAAACTCAACTGAGTTGGGGCGGCTTCGACGTCCCTGGCTAGGAGAGCCAAGTGAGGCAGCCGTGGGAGAACTGATAGAAGGCGAGCGTTGAAGTCGTGGTGATGTAGGCGGGGGACGGAAGTGCAAGGGCACAGCCGTAGGAGAGCCGGCGAACCGCGACAGCGATAGTCGTCGAGGTGCTGTGAAACCGTCTTGGCCGTGCTTCATAGTTGGACCTGGCGAGACCGATCTTGGAGCCAAATCCGTCACGATCTTCTGCGATGATGGCGGTGATGTCGAGTGACTTCTAGGCCGCCGTGGAAGGGGCCCCAGTCCCAACCCTCTCCCATCTGCATCCATTGAAGAGGATGGCCCCGAAGCACCATCATACTCACTTTCGCCGTCCATTGGTGGCATTTCGGGGCGCTCGACTAAAAAAGACTGGTCTCGTTCGCTTTCTTGGGATATTCTTGGTTCCTATACGGTAGGGAAAAGAGAAAGTATTATTTAGCAAATGAATCAATAAATCACGTTCGTTAAAACATTCAACGGGCATAGACAGGGTAATATCATCATGGTTTACAAAGGTCATGGCAAAAAGAGAAAACAACTATGAACTATACCTTCTCGTACTCCGAATCCCCATAAAGTTGCTTCCGCTTATCCTCCCTGCGTTGCCTGCTCGACTTATAACTCTCCACATTAACGTCCTTATCCGCCAAAAAGTTGTCTTCGCGATCCAACTCGCGGTCATCATATCGGCGTCTTCCATCCAGCGAGTCGCCTCGACTCGAGCTTCGATGTCTGCGGCGGCGGCTGGAATCATCAAAGGTGCGTGTTCCAATCTCAGACTGAACCTCGCGAGATACAGGCTTCTCAGGGGATCTCTTGCTTTCTACTGGCTCGGACACTCTAGATCCGAAAATGCTGCTTAGGAAACCGCCAGACTTCTTCCCTTTATCTTCCATGCTCCTGCGTTTGTCACTGCTCTCCGTAGCCACGGAGGATGCCACTGAAGCGGTATCGTCAAACGTGTCACTCTCGCGCTTTGAACGTCTCTTTCTTCTCTTCTTCTTCTTCCCCTCCGTTCCGTCTTCGGTCCCTACAACCGATTCAGCGACATCATTTTGATCGGTCTCGGTGCCCTCTGTCTCGGTTCGTCGAAGAGGTTCAGGCCCAAATTCCCTTGTGTCAGAGTATGAAACGGTTGACTGAGGAATGGCATCTGTGGTGGGCGAAGGGCTGCGTCGCTTTGGTTTCGCAGACTCTTCGGGCTCAAACCCCCCTGGCATGAAGAACTCTTCTTCACCAGGGGAGTCGGACTCTTGCCGTGGATATCGGCCTGTCGGTTTCTCTTGGATATCAGATGTTTCAATAACACTGCGAGGAAGTGGCACATCGGCAGGATCGGTCTCCACTCTGTCGATGTGTTCAACCACAGGCTGCTCAGCTGAAGGCTGAGACCCATAATCCCATCCCCTTTCAGCCCAGCTGTTGGAAAAGGTAGGTTTAGGCCCGGGGAAGATGGTTTCATCTGAGAAGAATTGCGATTTGGGTTTGGCCGCCTCGGGAGTCTCAACTTCGCCCTCGACATATCCATGGAATTGTTCGGGATGGGCAGGAACCCTGGTGGTGGGCGAAATTGATCTTTCGCGAGTATCAGATCCGGGAGGTGAAGTTCGTGTGCGGAAGACTGGGTCATCTGTCACAAGGGATGGGTCAAATCCAGCTGCCTGCGTCGCCGCAGCGACAGTGGCGGCAAATTCGATCTCGTCGTTCGTGTCTTCCACATGAGCGTGAGACGGTTCGATGTATGTATAGTCGATGGGGCCGTCACGAGTAGTAGTAGCGTCGGGAATGGAGTCGCGTTGTCTTTCATTTAGATCGATAGAACTGCGTTCAGAGGAAGTAGAAGGGACTTCATACTCATGACGTCTGTCTTCATCCGCCCAAGATACGCGAGAGCCAGTTGGTCGTTCTGGTTCTTCTTCGACTTGAACTGGCTCTGCCGGCGTTATTATGGGCGATGATGTACCTCTCACGGAGCCACTGACGCTGTGAGGGGGCGTTGGCTCGATGACCCTCAAGCTAGGCACAGGCCATGGCAAGTTTTTGAATCCTCTATAGTCAGGAGTTGGCTCAAAAGAGGAGTCAAACGGTGGCTCCTGCGGCTTTTCCCGAGATGACTCGCTTGCAGGCTCTATTTCAACAATCGTCGGCATTGTGGGTGACTCTCGTCGACTCTGAGAATCAGGGCTGTAACGCAGCTCATCTGGGTAGAAGAATGCCGCATAGTCATCATAAACGGCCTTCTTGTTACGGACGCCACGGAAAGCCGATGTCTTGACATGGTCTGAGGGGCTAGCTGAGCTGGCTCGTTCCTCAACTACTTCTCGCGGCTTTGGTCGCTCCGGAATGTCGGATGAAGCAGAAGACATCGCAGAGGGATCAGTTGCACGTCGACGCTCGGCTCGTCGCTGTTCCGACCGTTCGCGCCATCTTTCACTTGCCTCGTATCTATCGTCTTTTGACGATTTCCCGGAAAGAACGGTAGAGGCGGCGACAGCGCCTATCGCTCCGGCTGCAACTGGGCCAGCCCAAGACCCAGTGTCTCTATCGCGCTTCAGGTCATCCTTGGTGAAGCGGCTTTCTGACTCCCGCTCTCGTTCACGGTCAAATTCACGGTCACGGTCTCGTTCGCGCTCACGTTCCCGCTCAGGCTCAGTGTCCCTATACCGTTTCGAAGCGTAACCGGCAGGTGCAGATTTCGTATCCTCCTCGTAGTCAAGGAGCTCGATACGGTCCCGGCGGCCCAAATCGTTCTTCAATCTCTCCAGGTGTTCTGTACGTCGCTGTTTATCCTCTTGCTCATCGGTTAGGTTAAACGAGACAGAAGCTTGGTCCCTTGTCGTAGAACGGCGTTTCAGACCTGAACCTGGTGCGGGTTCAATGGGATCACTCTGGAATATAGGAGTGGAGTCGCTTCGTCGATGGCGGCGTTCGGCCCTCGGAAGCTCGTTGAGAGGTTGAGGATAACGGGAACTCCCTCGGTCCTCCTGGCGCTCCTCCACCTCCCGCAGCTGGGATTCATAAGAGGGGAACGGGCTTTCGAAAGCTGGTATGACCGGGGCGCTGTAGGAATGGATGGGAGCTCCCTGGGTAGTGTACACGGCTTGGGAGACAGGCGTGACTGGCTGGGGCTGTTGAAGAGGGATAGAGCCTGGTCGGATCAGTTGCGGCTGGGATGGAGGGAAAGACGATAGTGGAGCGGCATCGTAACGGCCAGGGTCGGATGTGGGTATTGGGGCCACATGCTGAAGGCTCGCCGTACTACTGCTTGGAGCTTGGCTGGGAGCCTTGTTGTCCCGATGATAACCAGAACCCAACGCTGCTGTTCCCAACGCCCCAGCAGCTACGGCGGCAGCGGCACCGGTGGGGAAGTGTTTCTCATTTGAGCCGGAGTGCTTCTTCGACTTCTTTTTATTCTTGCCTCCCCAGACCCAACCCCATCCTGAACTCGACGAATCCGACGAATTTCCACTTGCACTAGCACCGAAAGCAAGCGCTGAGCTGACACTAGACGCCTGGCCCTCCGAGTCCAAGTCTTCCCAGTCTTCATCATTGCTAGCAGATGAGGTATAATCCGATCGACCAGAACGGGAACCTTGGCCAACGAATACTTCACCTGTCCGGCGGTTTCGACGAGGAGACGAAGCAGCTAGCGCAGTTGCTGTTGCGCCCAGCGCCAGCAATTTCGCGTCCACGTCTTTGTTCTTTTTCTCCTTAGAGTTCCGTCTCTTAGACTTACCTATCAACTTCTTCGCGTACCCGCTTCCAAAAGCAAGATCGTTATCGAGAGACGATGAAGAAGAATTGTTGAAAGAGAAGATGCTCTTGCTTCGCTTATTGCGTCGCTTGTTGCGATTATCGGAAGAAGCAGTGAAAAAGGAGCCAAAACCGCCGGCCGAGTTCTTAGCAGGTCGTGAAATATTATCAAACGATGAGCCAGAGGACGAGGACGACTTCCTCCTCCTACCTCTAGGCTTTCGCACGGAGCGACTGGGGCTGTTGCTGCGGCTCCGATCCCGATGATGGGATTTAGCCATTGACATGGCCGCACCACCTACCGCCGCACCGATGGCAGCGTCGCGAAGTGTATGGCTATGGCGGTTGGATCTTGATGATGATCGAGAACGGGAGCGAGGCCGAGCGGCAATTCGCGATCCTTCATATCCGCTGGGCTTCGAGTCATAGTAATCGGCCCGACCAGCAGGTTCCTGCGAACGGGTGCGGTGTGATCGCTTATAAACACCACGTGAAGTTCGACTTTTCTTGTCCGAGGCGGAGCTGTCACTGTCTGGGTAGGCGCCGGAGACTTGACCGGATTTAACACTGTAGGAGTCATCAAAATCCTTATTGTCGAAAAGCGATTTCATGGCATATCCGCCAAGAATTGCTGGTAGCCAGGATGACTTCGAAGACTTGCGCCGGCGGCCTTCATCCTCCGAGGACCCATATCGACTTAGTTTATCCACTCGCGAGCCTGAACTGATGCGATCAGACGACCGGCGACGCCCATAGTTATGTGGACGAGGTGCATTTCTGGAGGTTGAACCCGGCTCGAAACAATATCTGCAAACCCCAATCTCTTCGGTGTAATCTTCGAACTTGCCAACGCCCTCAGGGTCACGCCAGAAATCAATGAACTTATCAAATGGTCCGCGTTGGCGCTGCTGATAGGCCATCGCGCCGCCCTGGAAAGGAGATCCATGATAGATAGCAGCATGGTGTGGGTGCAAGGGACTAGCAGCGTATGCAGCGCCTGCAGCGCCTGCCGCGCCCACGCCATATAGAGCCGGATTCATTGGCGCGCCGGAATACCCCTGTCCGATCTGCGAGGTATCATCCGGATTTTGCATGGAATATTGAGAAACATGGTCAGAGGCTGACGACGATGAATGGTGGTGATGGCTCAACATGTAACCAGCTGCTGCGCCAGCTGCAACACCACCAACTGCAGCACCCACGCCGTGGGAATTGGAATGTGGTGGCTTGCCTTGGTTCGTGGTTGTGGGAGTGGCATATGCAGTAGGAGATTCACTTAGAACTTGTTCCGCAGAATAATCTCCCAGCCCATATGTTGCGGCGCCTCCTGCTGCTGCTGCTGCTGCTGCTTGACCCGCAGAGTGGGATGGCTTTGATGGCTTGGACGGCTTTGGTGGTTTGGCTTGCGGGCCGGAAATAGGTTGCTCAGAGGTATGAGCGTCGAGTCCAGGATCAGCTGCAAAATACGATGCAGCGGCACCAACCTCTCCTACACTGCTCGGCTCTGGAGGCGGGTTCGCGGATGGCGAGGCTGTCATCAAGTGCGCCTGGCTGTTGGGAATAACCAGCGGTGGCTTGGGTCGAACGCCTGGTTGGTCTTGGACAGACTGTCCTTGGTCGCCATAGTAATCGGCCGCTTCACCAGCAGGGTTTGGCGGTCGGTAAGGCTCAGCAAAAGTGGTTGGAAACTGTCCTGGAAATTGTTGTTGAACATGTGGATCGTAAATAGTGGGCGAATCCACGTTTCCCGGCGCGGACTGAGGCTTGTGGTTTTCAGGAGCGGAGGGTTGAGAGGGATCTTGAGCTTGATCGAATGGTGCCGGCACCGCACCGCTCGCAACAGGCGGGAAGTGCGCATCATCACCAGAGTGCGTCCGCTCGCGTTCGCGCTCCCGGCGGCGGTTGTCACGATCATCACGGTCTCTTTCTCCCTCATATTCCCTTTCTGACCTGGTGCGCCTCCGCTGTCTATCCTTATCTCTAGTACGGTCTTCTCGATAGTGGTCGCGGTCGCGGTCGTCGCGGTCATCGTATTCTGAATCTTTGCTGCGCTTCAAGGCTCGTTCGGAAACAATGCGATCGTCCGAGTAATTCGGTTGCGCGGTCGCGTAGCTCGAAGCAACAGACTCGCCTGCTGCGCTTTCCGCATAGCGCTTGCTTCGACTGGCGCTGCCTGGCGATGAGTAGGCGGACAGGTCGCCCAAGCCCCGATCACGGTCGTCACCCCGTGAGGACTTGTGGCTTACTGTCGATGAAGCAGAGGATCGATGGCCGGATTTGCGGCGGCGCTCGCCCTTCGAGCTCGAGTTGCTGCGAAGGTCGGTGCTGGAGGAGGAACGGCCCCCGCCCAAGAGGCCCTTGAACATGATGGGCAAAGAGCTATTCGCGCTCGGGGTTCTTAGGCAATCATGTGGGTTTCAATTGGCCTAGAGAAAACCAACTTGAGGTATAATAGTAGTAACAATGAATAGAATCGGTAGAATTACAAAATGAAAGAATGGGAAGGGGAAGGAAGGTTGAGAGGATGAGGGAAAAGCGACAAGGCGACAAGGCAAGGCTGGAGGCGAGTGTATGTTTTGGCGGCGGTAAACAACAGAGCTGAACCGTGGAGCTTTGTCCGAGCGGAGGTTGGTTGCTCCAGACAATCGGCCACTAGCGATCTAGCGCCTCGGATCTGGTTGGGATGGCACGATGGACTGGGTAATCGGATGGCGGGTGACCCTAAGCTTGTGGTGAAGAGTGCGGGGCATATGCTTGGAAAAGATGATAAAATTCAATATAAGAGGATGGCAGGCGATGGAATGCTGATGAGTCGCTCTGGACTTTGTTGCCTGCCTACTCGGAGAAATTGTAGAGCTGAGCGATGAATTGGGGAGGACCGAAGGATGCGGTGAGTCTGGGCGGTGGAGAATGCACGTGCAGAAATGAGAGTGGCTGGAGGTGCAGCGAACAAGATGGGTGTAAATTATCCAAGCTGTTCAGAAACCCCAGATAAATGAAATGATAGGTGATGTTTATATTATCTGAAACGCTGTAGTTCGAAGTGTCAGTGACCCATGGCTCATTCCGATTCGAACTATGGTTCTCCCGATCTCGAAACCCGAAGAATGTGGGGTTGCGGCCTAAGGCAGTTACTTATATGCTATGCCATGCGGCCCATGATATGTGATACAACGCACGAGGGAAAAACCTTCTTTAATACCCCCGAAGTTTAAGAACAAAAAAAAAAAAAAACCAAAAGAAAGAAAGAAGCGAGGGAAGAAAGGGAGAAGGAGGGAAAACAATAACTACAATTAGGACTATGTAGTCAATATATATAAATGGTATACTAAATAAACATCCCGCAAAACATATACAATCGCGACCAACCATCAACAAATTTACCAAGAGCAAAGATACAAGCCTTCAGATCGAAAATGGAAGAAGTAAGCAAGGGTCTAATCGGCACGCATCAAACGCTCCAAATCCAACCGAATGCGATGCTGGAACCACTGCGGGAATCCGCGCAAGCACTTCGCAATCCATCCAGTCGAGCCTGGAACTAGGACGTGGCCACTGGACCCAGTCAGAACCTGGTTCACGATGTTCTCCGCCACCGTCTCCGGGTGCAACAGCGGGTTAATGAAAGTATCTTCGGGTGTTAACTTGTCAATCAGCGCAGTCTTGACAAAGCTCTGTGTGATAAGCACAGTGCGCACGCGCGGCGCATTATAGCGCGTAACCAGCTCCGCGCCGAGACCCTCGTGGAAGGCAATCGCAGCCGCCTTGGTGGCTGAGTAGTCCACCATGCTGGGGGTAACGGTGTATCCGGCCTGTGACGCGACGGTCACCACCATGCCGTGGTTGCGCTTGATCATGGCCGGGAGGAACTCCTTTGTCAGCCAATAGTGCGCCAAGGTGTTAACCTCGAACTGCAGACGAGTCTGGGACTCGGTGCTACCGAGGATGGTGCGGCTGCTGCAGATTCCAGCATTGTTGATTAGGATTGTGGGTTCGCCCATTGTCCTGCGGATGGTTGCAGCGACCTCGGCGATGGCTGTTGGCGAGGTGATGTCGCAGGTGTGGAAGCGCACGGTGGGCGGGAGGGCGTCCTCTGGCGCTTTGATATCGAGGATGGCGACCTTGATACCGCGGTTTCCGAGGAGGTTCGCAACCTGTCTGCCAATCCCGTTGCTACCGCCCGTGAGCACGACGACTTCCCTGTTCCAGTCATATTGGTCTGAGACGCCGTTGTTCAATGCGCGGTTGTTGAGCCATGCGTTGACTCGACGGATGATGGCAAGCGAAGCCAGAACTTTCAGAGCTTGGTAGGCTTTGGGATACTGCAGTGCCGTGTCTTTGCCTTTTGTGGTGTAATGTGCGAGGAGGAGGAGGGGGACGGTCTTCCAGGGGCTGAAAACGGTCCTTTGCAGTAGCTTTCCCACCACATCCGCGGTGAACCCTATTTGAAAAAAAAAAAAATGAAGACGATTAGATACGAGCGCAAGAACTAGGTGATAACTGGAGAAACAAACCTTCTCGCGAGAACCAGAATCCTTGAGACGCCATGTTGTGCGGTAAGAGTCTCGCAACCTTGAGAGTTAAAAAGAACTTAGAGTAAACCCAGGGGCCCAGAAGGTTTTGATATGGCCGACAGCGGTCAAGAGAGCATGCCCCCTTTCCCAGGTTGATCGCCCGAAGATAAAGAGTCACTGGCCATGACTCGTGGGAAATCAGCCCTTTGGTTTGTTGCGAGTCGAGGAATGCGGGGAAACAGGAGTCGAATTCATGCGCGGCCGAGGTTCTCCTCTTCTCACTCTGATTGCACCACACAGCTTCCTTGAATCAGGTAGCGGACCGCGGTTACTGTCACGCTGGATTGATCCATCCTAACCGCCGGCTATATACTACTACTACTACTGGCATAACTCCTAATCTCAAAAATACCGAATTCCAATCCTAATTCAACCTGGGTATCTCACTGTAACTGGCATTGTCAACCAGAAGCAGTCCAATATGTTACTATATGTTGTTCTGTTATTCGCTGTAAATGCAAAATCAAATGTTGCCTCCCACGCCAATTCCTGGGCCTAAAACAAAACCAAATAAACATTCCAAACAAAATGACCGACAAGATCGCGCTCACATAGCCGCCCTCTCTTTCTGAATGGCACGAACATGACTGATAACTGACGTATGACGAATGCAAATAACAAGAGGTATGAAATCAACGAGCGGCCGTCGAAAGATAAAATAAAACAGAGAAAAAAAGGGCAAATGTGGTATTGGGCAGTGGTATATATGATGGTCCATATATGGTTCGGAATGCAGTTGCGTTGTAAATTCAAGAAGCATCGAGGCTCGAAAACCATGTGCTCGCTGAAAAGCTACGCTGTGATGCAGAAATGTGGTCAATTCAGCGGCATGGCAGTGGTGCGAAGCCGCCGAAGAATAGGGCCGTTAGAAGGAGTGAGCGCAATATAAGCGAGGAAGCATTTGTGATGATGGGCGGTTTCATCCGTCCATAGCAGCAAGCGTTGGGGGTTCCTCAAAAATTTTCTCGTAAATGTCAGCAAGGATCTTTGCGTCGGCGCGCAAAGTGGGTGAAATATTTCGATTTCGGAGCAAAAAGGCAATGGTTCTGCGGAGTAGTCTCTCAAGCTCACTCCGATTCACAAGGTCCGTGAGGTGCGACATGTATGCGGTGGACAACACCAGCATGTTCCCAAATTGACTAGAAAACATCAGTATTATGTCGGGATTGAGTCACAAAGCAGGGGCAATCCACATACGCATGAGCAGTTCCAAAGATATTCGTCACCACAGGACGTCCCTTGATTGCATCGAACGCCTCTGTACTCCTGACAGCACTTTGCAAGCACACTTTGCAAGCCCTTCGAAGTTTCTGAGGTAAGTCACGGTACGTATGGGCCGTCCCATTTGCACCTGGCACAGAGCCCAAGTCACTTGACATGCGTGTCATTCCTGGAGCATACTGGCCATGTGTTAACGACGGAGACACTTGCGACGAAACAGCTTCTCCATATCTAGCCGGTGAATCAACAGATAGCGGGCCCATGTTCGGTCCGCAATAATGGAGAGCATGAGAAAGTAGGGGCCGATGAATGATATATCGCGCGCCATAATATTTCGCCCTCATTCGCGCAACGTTGATATCAGGAGATGGGGGGTCATTATCACTCCATCTCATCTCCTGGGGGAGACTGCTCCGCCATAGGTCGAGGTTCATGCTCAGGATCTCCTGTACATTAGACGACCACCGCGTTTCTCCTTGTTCTGCCAAAGGTAAATGCATCAGTATGGGGAAATATCCTAACAGCCTGTAAAGAAACTCACTTTCAACCTTGTACAAGTCCGTATGTACGCGATTTAGAACCTTTCTGAGATGAATTTGGGCGGAGTAAAAGAACATCATCATTGTATTAGGCGCAGAAATGTTATTCGGCAAGGATATGGTGAATCTGCCCTTTGGAAGGTTAATGCGCGATTCGGATCGAGAGATACCACTCGCAGGCAGATCCAGTTCAGCCAAGATATCACTAGATTTGTTAATACAAATTCTTCTGAGGAACGTCTAGTAACACACCTCTCAAGCTGCAGGCAAGTCCAGTACGCAAAGTTAACAAGATCCTTGTTATGATCATCTTGTAGCTCCCCGTAGCTCTTCCTGTATCTCTAATTAGTAACTCGCCAAACAGTGATTATACAGTAAAACAAAGGGCTACCCACGGCAATGTGAGCACCTGACATGCTCTGGCAGCCTGCGCGATCCAAGAATGACTTTGGAAAGGATGAGCCAGTTGACCGGTGTATAAGCCTGCCAACAATGCAGCCTGAACATAGGGAAGCGAGGTTGCTCCTTGGCTCTCACCAAGAATTCTCGCGGCATACGCGTAATATACCAGTCCAGGAACTGTATCCACATTCTGAAGCTGAGGGGCATCAGGATGAGTAATGAATTTTTCGTCTGTCACAGACGGCATAGGTGCTGGTTGGTCCTGAAATGATGAGTAGAAGCTGTTCCCGGGTGGGCCCATTGAATCAGGCCCAGATGGAGATACACCAGCGCGTGGTGGCACCCCAGGAATTGGCTCATTACGATAGTCAATTATTCGATCAGTGCAGGCACCACGAATCGGTTCGTCGCGAACTTCACAAATGCGGCCGAGGGCAAGAACGAGCAAAATGATGGCGTTGCGAATCGACTTTTGTACCTTGTGCGGTGCGGCACCGTCTGCCTGCCCAGTTGGAGGTGATTGTTGATCATATGTCGTTCCATGCAACGTCTCACCTGAGCGCTTCCGTTTGGCACCCCTTGGTGCCTCTGCCGAGTTCCTAACGCTTAAAGCAGCAGCCGACTCCGGGTCCTTTGGACAATGCATAGCAATAAAACGTTCGGTCCGCTGCTCTAGGTCAAGTTGGTTGAGGAAAGGGTGAAGTTTGTGGATGTGCTCGAGGTAGCTGTCGCGGTAACGACGAACTGTTTCAGCGTCGATAGCCACCAACCCATATTCATCAATGCCTCTAATCTCTGGAGGGGCATCATTATACTTGGTGTTCGAGTTCCAAGCTCCGTTAGGAGAGGCGTATTGCGAGAAGCTTTCATCCAAGCTCGTGTTGAAGCTTGTCGGCTGCGAAGAAATTTCCTCATCTGTTTCCTGTGCTTCCCCTCGACCCTCAAATCGAACCAATCCGCGGTACCGTTCAAGTTTCATGACATAGTCGTCATCATATCGGTGGAGCAGTTTCGTGATCGACGGCCATCCGAGCAACTTATGCGCTGCTGTTGTATGTTCCACGGGGATCGAGAGCTCCCCGTCCTCCCCAGTCTGAAGAAGTCCTTTCGTATAAACGCTAGGGTCGCTGGATTTCCCACCATCAGCAGCCAATGTCACCCGCTCCTTAGCCTCAGGCTTCTGTGCGGCTTCCAAACCATCCGCTTTCATAACAGGATATTGTGTCGTATTCTGGGTCTCGCCATCAGGGCCCCATGTAAGCATCGCAGAGATCTGATCAAGTGCCTTATCGTGGCCGACATGCAGTCTTTCCAACCCGCGTAGTTTCGTGTCTAACTGGTCCTCTAATTGTTGGAGTCGGTCCAATATCAGTTGTGTAGACTTTTCTTGCCTAAAACCCCGCATTATTAGCACTCCAAAGCGTGGCAAGCAGAAAGGAGGGCACTGACTTGTGTGGGGGTACTTCTTTATAAACACATATTAAGTTGTTTTCTTTACAATGACTACAAGCAGGGCGGCCCTCGTCACACTTTGCCTTCCTTGCTCGGCATTGGTCGCAGGCCTGGGAAAGAGATCGTCAGTTGAGTGTATGGCCATAGAATGCATAGCCATGTCCTTACCTGCTGCGCTCGAGTCGCTTTGCGATGTCGCATATTAAATGACTGTGCCTGATAATAACCCGCGTCATAAGGGGCGGGCGTGTGTGATACCGTTGGGGGAACTGTAGTGGCATATTGACTCGGGGGGACTGATTGCGGAGGCGGCGGAGGATCCCCATTCGCATGGGGGGGTTGATCTGGAGGTGGAAAAGACATTCGAGCTCTAGTAAACTCCGGAGGGGCAGATAAAGGAGATGACTCAGGCGGAGCCCCATTCATAGGATGGAAATTCGCATGTGGTGGTGGTGGAGGAGCCTCCGAAGGGGCATGGGCAGGCGTCGGTAAACTGGTCGGTCGGCCGTATGGTCCATCGGAGGGCAGTTGTGGCAACTCTCGATTTTGCATAGGAGGGTAGCTATGTGACGGTACTGGTGGCTGAGGAGCATTGGAAGGCCGCCGTGGCTCGGGATGGTGTGCATCGTATGAGGCGGGATATTGGCGCCACGGCTGATCGTACAAACCTGGGGCCCCTGGGAGGCCATGCGGAGCCTCCGGGGGGGGGATGCGATGCATTGGAAGCGAGGGTCCGGAGTACTGGGGTAGGGTTCTCGATTTGTCGTCCGCAGTGACAATTTCCATGACTGCAGCCCCAACGTCTCGCGCAGGAACTTTCGGCGGGCGCAAATCCTCGATGGGCGGTCTATCGTACGCGATAATCATACGGTCATGAGGACATGGTTATGCCCATGTGAAACACGATGGATAGGGCTCGTTGCGCGACCGGAAGAATAAGTAAAGGATGCAGCTCAGGTTCCCGAAAGGGAAATCAGCTGGCAGCTGTGCCGACAGACGCGGGGGGGAGGAAGACGGGAGGCCTCGATTGCTATTAGGGCCGGTCCTTTTTTCCTTCTTTCTCTCTTTCAGTCCTGCCTGGTTTCCCACGGGCTGGGAAAGAACAGAGAGAGGGTTCTGGATTCGCGGTCGGTTTTCCTTGGGAGATGCGTGGTTTGCGTTGGAAGGTCACACGAAGAGGGGTGAGGATCGGCCGGCAGTGCAGGCCAGAGTCTGGAAAGGGTAATCTATGGGTCGGGGAGCTGTCAGCAAGGAAGGTCGATGGCAGCTCGGACACAGGCAACGGTCAAAGCGAGGAAACGAAGGAGAAGGAGGAGACAAGAGAGAGAAAGCCAAAAAGCGGGAAGGAAAGATAATCGCGATGGCCGGCGTGTAGTGCACCCAGGATGGTGGTAAGGAATAAAACCATGTTAGGGCGGGAATAATAAAGACGTGTTAATAGTGCCGGGGGGCTAAGAGGTTTTGGGAGTATACAGAGGGGGGAAACGCTAGGACGGCAGTGGCCAGTGACCGGCCGATCAGTCACGACGGCGCAGCGGCGCGAGGAACTGTGGTGGAGGAGGATTCGGAAACAGAAAAAGAAAAGAAGACGGACGGACGTACCAAAAACGTCGGCGGAGTGGCAGAGTCCTTCAGGCTGACCCCATAGTCTGGCACCCTGAGAAAGAAGGAATTTAGTATTTTTTTAGTGCCGAAAATAAGTGGGAGGGGGGAGATGAAGGCGTGGAAAGGGAAGAGACGAGAGGAACGCCAGAAAATAATAAACAGAATTCAACTTCACGGCAATAATGGCAGGGCCCAAACACAAACATCGCAGAACCTTAAGGGACGCCAGAAGCCCAGTCATAATGCCCGACATACCCTCCACAGCACACAGCACGGTCCCAGAGGCCCAGGACAGGGGTGGAAGAATGGGTGGCAGGCCAACTGGAGCTTGGGGGATGGCAGCGAACCTAAGATACGTACCCAATATGATGAATATGATGAATAAAACCGCAGCGAGAACTCGGCCGGGGAGAGACAGAGCAGAGGCAAGAAAAGCAGTCAAGACTCAAAAGCGTCGGGACAGCAAGTTCAAGATCAGATCAGGCCTGGGCAGGTGATCGCACTGGGAATCTGATAGTTGGTGAGTTGCCTCTGCCTTCATGCTCAACTGTTTCAGCCTGCCCCTCTTGCTGAAAAAAGAGGATCCTTTGCGAGGAGCGGAATGGGGATAGTTTTAAGTATTATTCGAGTAATAATATCCAGAATAATAATTATTTAGAATAATATTATTTTATTTGAGGGCTAGTCTTTCCCTCTGGTTTGCGGGCCTCCGAAAGCCACCAAAATTGACAGATGGAGGCCCGCTCATCTTTATCTTTTCTGCATTATTTAATTCTGAATTTATCGACAGTACGAATTGGGACTCCTTGTGCTGTGCACTCCAGTGGCCAGAATAATATTACGAACGACCCAGGTAAAATTGCCTCTGTGGGCAACCTCCGATAGCTCAAGTTCAAGACAGCTCCGAACTTCGAAGCAGCGAAGACTTCATCTTTCGCAAGTGGGGACGCTGGAGCTGTGGGACGGGGACGAAAGGAACCACACCAGCCATCAGAATCCAGGAATCAGGCAGATCAAGCGGATTGGTGGGCAAGCAGTCCAAGATCAGCCTGGAAATGCGCACTGCCAGAGCCAGACCGATTTTTTTTTTTCTCCAGGATCGCACGGGAGATAATCAAGGAGGGTCGCTGCCCAAATCCTGAGCAACTGATTGAGTCTCCATTATCAAAGTTATCACTACGAAGCGACGGAGAGAGCCCTCTCACTCGAAGCACCGAAGCAGTCCGTGAATACTCTACAGAAGCGTACATTAACCGTTTAACCGTGCTGAAGAGGCCAACTGCCGATGAGGAATTCAGGAATCAGTTGGGTACCCATCCGGGAGAACGGAGGTCAAACAGGAACACACTTGATTAGCAAGGGGGATCCTATCTTGAATTATGCGGGTGCATCATATATTCCATACATCATCTGGAAGCCCGGACTGATCTCCGGAGGACAAGGGTTTGGGGTTGGACATTCTGTTGCTGGGCCCCGGCAGCGCGGTAGAATAAAGTTGAATAAATCGGAGGCGATATTGAAGAGTTCCTGCGGGCCTGGACGACTCTGCGGCGGGAGAATAAGCAGGAGAATAAGCAGGAGAATAAAGCAGTGACAAGACAGAGACTGAGGGGCAGACGAGACGGTGAAGACAGACGCCGTTCCCTGGAACCAGCCGCGGGTCAGCCGATCTGGCACAGGAACCGCCGGCTGGCTCCATCTTCTCCCATGGTTGGTCGGAATGCTGCTCAGTGTCAGACAAATCTCGGCTGCGCACTTGAGCAATTGCCAGCGGCAGACGGCAGCTGGATCTGTGATCTGTAAGTGTATCCTGTATGCACTCCATGCCCCTCGTCCGACAGAAGACACGCAGTCGCTGCGGATCAAGGGAGGACCAGTCCAGGGGTTCCCCATCTGGAGAAGTGACAAATCCACGCATGATCTCCTGCATTTGCCACCATGGAATTCAAGCTCGAGACGACCTCGTCCATCCACTCAGCCCTTGGGCCGTTGATGGGTCATCTAGCTTCGAGTTTCCAGCAGACTGGGACGCTGGAGGACCGGCGGATTCCCGCCCTGGTTGCCACCACCGCCAGAATGAAAAGATATCCAGCCAATGTATGACCTCATATCGCGATCCTTTATTTCCGGTTTCCGGTGCGAAAAGCTGGGCAGCCTCCGACTGGCGACTCCTGGCTGATCTACGCGACTAGCTCTCCCTGATCCCGTCTCCTGGAACCAGCTCGGCTGCGGGCATCTTGGGGTCCCTGGCAAGTGGCAATCACAACTGCCAACGATTGTGCCAACGGCCCACGTCAGTTAATATACACCGTACGGTGTACTCAACTGTGAGACAAACCCCAAGGATCCAATGTTCTTCATTCTTGATCTGCTCCGGTGCCCCTCCGATCACCGACTTGGAGAGGAGCGAGGCGGCCGAAGCCAGTCTCAATCTGTCCCTCTCGAATCCTGCGAGTGCCGCTCATGACGGAGCACTAACCTGGCCTCATTTCTCCTCTTGCTCATGTGGGTCTCTAATTACCCAGCTCCCGGGATGATGCTATTCCTAATCATGACGATTGCATTTCTGAACGATCAGGCGTCTGCTGTGTTCAGGCTCTGTTGTGCAGAAAGCTCAAGCAAGGGATAGCCCTGTGCAATATTTCTTGCAGATGGCTTGAACCCCCATGAGGAATTTGCTTCCAATCCCCGGCAGGCGGCAGTTAACAGTTGTATTCTTCACTGGTTTGAAACTACCGGAGTACTAGTAGTTGTTTGTCTCGGGATGGTCGAACAAGTAGAGATGCACAAGACGGAATGGATACGAAGTACGGCAATCTGAAGATAGGAAACTTACCTCCGATGCAGGATACCAAACCCCAACAAAGACCACCTCTTTCCACTTCCTTCAGCTTGACTCACTCGGTGAGGTGAGGCCTTTTTTTTTTTTGTGGGTGGCCTCCTTTGTCAAGCCAGGCCGCCGTCTTTAGCGTTAACTCCTTACGGCAAGACAGTTGCCGAACCCAACTTTTCTTCCAAGTTGCCGTCTCGTCGATAATCATTCTGTCTTCCCGCGATCTGCCTTGAATAATCATATCGACCCCTCCCGGTCATGTATGCGGGCAGTGGGCCTTGATAGGTTTGGGGCTGGGCTTTCAAAAGAAACGGGTTTCGTCACGGAATTCACAGGGGCAGAGAACCCACGGCGGTTTCCGAAAGCAAACTGGTCACTCAATGGTAATTCAATAACCGTTAGGTCAGATATCACAGATTCGCTGTATCCTTGTCTTTCAACTTCCTTTTTCAACAGAGTTGAGTCAAATTCACGAGCCAACAGTGGCTCGAAAAGGATAATGTCCGCCGAAACTATTGGGCAGCAAACAAGCGGATGATCCTTCTGCTCGACCGTGGATGGCCCGTCCCAGGTTTCCAAACTTCCAACGCATGACCTTGTGGGGAGATCTAACGTCGAATCACCAAAACCAACACCAACTGGATTCCATCTCTGGCACTGTGTCGAGCTGCGCCTTCACCGGCGGCAAAAATCCATGCCTGATCGGGGCACGGAACCCGTGACCGCTCCCGCCCAGTTTCCACGGTCCAATGTCCATGGGTCAACGGCAAGATGGAACTCCGTAGAGCGTATGAGATCTTTGCCGTTAGGGGGGATCTCTGGATCGAAGTGTGCTGGAGTCGAGAGAAACTGAATCGAGTCCTCGATTCAGGAAACCTTACTCCTGCTCCAGTTGACTTCCCAACGTCTGCCCATCGTACGATGATCGGAATCTGATAATCTCGCATTGTCCCGGTCCGAGTTTAACAATGAATCATGGACGCCGCTTCTGAGAGCCAGTGGTCATCGCAACAGCGACTTGGCCTTGTCCGATCGTCCCACCTTCACCAGGACACAAAGAGCAAGGAAAAGCAAAGTATCCGATCCGTTACTCCATACGTAATGATTACAAGAATGAGACATTTATTCGAGCTGGAGGGATAATCCAAAGCCATTGGCTCAGCGCGAGCCTTGAAGTCATCGTACTCCGTATTCTGGCATCTTTCAGCCATGCGGCCTGTGGAGACGGAGACGAATATCCAGGCGGAGTGTTGACGGTTGGCTTGCTCGGGTGAGCCCCATCGCGATCAATGATCGATTCGAAATACGCTTGAAATGGGAATTGGACCATTTGCGCCTGTGTCAGCTCTCAGCTCACTCTGGCTCCCCAGTCTCCACGAGCTTCAAGATCATGGGAGCTTGGCAGATCCGCCGCTTAATTCCAAATACTCGCCGGAGTTTTCCTTTGATTCTCGCGGCCATTCAGGGTGAAAGTCCAGGCGCACGAGTCTCATTGGTCGGGCTACTTTCTCCTGAATAATTTTCCAGAATCCCCCGAGCGCAGCGAACAAAGCCAGGTTGGAGGTGGCGCTCTCGATCGTCGAATTTCGAGATGAGGCGGTAAGGCCCGCCTCATCGATTGTGTGAAATGGCCTTAACTTTCGAGGTTGCATTGAAGTAGGATGTGGGGATACGTATAGCTTGGGGAGGAACCGGGGTGCCACCGGGTCAAGATATCTAGTTCTGTAGAGCGAGTCTGTTTGAAGTTGTCGTCAACCTCCCATCACCAACACAACCAACGACGGTCGGAGCTTCTTCTGGTCGATTCTGGTATATCGCATCAACACTCGGCCAAACACAGTGTATGTGAATGCGAGTTATCTCGAAGAATATCTCGATAGCAAACAATTCATATTGCGGCGGCTGCGGCATCAAGCCATCCGGCAATACGACTGATCGCCCAGCTAGCCAGCCTTCTCCCTGCATGCGGATTATTAAACTATTCCTGCAGTCTGGATTCTGTATCACCGAGTTGGTCCAGGTGCATGCCTGAGTGCAACAGCAACTCTCCGCGTTCATTCCTGACTTCTGCCAGTCCTCCGAGCCCGGCCCTCTGGTACTCTGCAGAACAACACTGCCACAAACCTTGACGAGAGCGCCTTTTAAGGCTGGATAAACAAAGGCGATCGATCACAACCCATGGCCATGGCCATGGAACTTGCAGGCGAATCTTAACCTGGACAACGCTCTTCAAGACTTCAGCTACGATCGAAACTGCCCAACGCCAAACGAACTGCTCTGGTTTCGGCCGGAGCTACTGTAGCTAACAAGCCGTGGCGTGCATCACTGCCAGTCTCACATACATGAATAGGTATGTATGTGATCAAGTCGCTCCTGCATCCAGCACTGGATAACCTGCCTCTTACCCATCCACGTCAATGTGACTTCTCCTCGCATTAGCGGCTGACCCATTTTTTCTCCAGACAGTGGTCTTGTCGCCGACGCCGACGCCGAGCATGACGGACAGGCGAGACAGCCCGGCGGGCAAATGCGATCTGTAATTCCTCGCATATATCAATCACTTTCTGCACAAGTCCAGCCCACTCACCGGCGACAAATCAAGAGGGTTCGACCCTGCATCCCGCCAATCATGCCACCACTGTGCACGGACGCCCTGCCTATCGTGGATCCCTTTCCCCAGCCGAGTCGGCTAGCGAGAGAGCTAAACGGGAGGGCAAATGGATGGATGGAGAGATGATGATACAAATGTGAACCGCTGTGCGGATGCAATGGGATGGATGGCATTGGGATGTGTCTGTGGCTCTGTGCCTGCGTGGACGAAACACCCCAGCCTATACAACCCCAACCATTCGATTTGAGCCAAAGTTAGTTAACTATAGTTTGGGCTATGGCTGTCGGCGGCCACTGGCATATCCTACTTTTTGGTAGACATGCTGCTTGATTGCTCAAGGCTGAGAAGTAGCCTTTTTCGTTTTGCTTTTTTCGTTTCTCGCTTCGCCCCGTGTCCGGCTGGGCAGCTACTCTAGATGTCCAGGAAGTACATTACGGGCACCAACTGCTTTCTTTTGCCTATCCTTCTCAACGATACAGAGCCTCAGAGCATTTTCATGTTCTGGCGGAAAGGCGTGCTGAATATTGTCACACCCCAGACAACCGACCTATTCTTTGGCGCTGGTATACAGACGGCACACTGACAGGAAGACGCACCGAAGAGTGATCTGTCACATTTCCAATGGCCCGGAATGTCCGCTTGCAGATCATTCAATAAGTCCGACGCTGGAGCCTCCCAAGTCCCGACTCCCCGAGGTCAAGGCTCTTGTTGCTTGTGAAAGGCTGAAAAATTTGCCGGTTGGCAGTACTTTCTTTCTTCCGCGGTGGTGAGAAGTACCTTTGTACCTGGTACCTGCACCTTGATGAATTATACGAGCGCTTACGTACACGGGTATACTTTGCAATTAGATCGGTCCAGGCGTCGAGATGCCCTGCCCGTGGAGGATTTAATATCTGATCTGAGCCGAACAGCTCCAGGGTTTTGCGCAAAGGCGTCTGGGTTGTTCGGGGACATTGCTGATTACTCTGCCATGCGATGCTGTTAACGCATTGATTCGGTTGAGTATCAAACGTAGCCTGTCATTGCGGTGATTTGCTGAGATGTAGACCCGACTAACTTTTGGCATGGATTGGATATACTCAGATGCTGCCCGTGATGAGATTGTCGCGAGGACATTGATAGAAACTCTTCCAACATTGCTGAACTAACCCTCAAAGCTCAACTAACATCGTTATAATGCCAGTATAATGAGATCACTCTAGTCAAAAACTTATTATATATACGCGCCACTTGCAAGAGATCAGGGGTAAACCCCATAAGAATAGAACCAGCCATTCATATTGAGACAGCCAATTCTGGGTAAATCCATGGTATTGCCAGCGTATAACTACGACGCCCCCGGGCTTCAACAAGTACCCAATGCCGCCAAAGTATGCGCGACGGTTCCCCTTTTCGTTATTAGAAATGACCCCGTGCAATGTCATGTCATGATTGTTCGGGAATGATGCACTGAAACGCTCAAGGTCCTGTTCTCTTCTATTCGTACGATTCTCTCAGAAGCCTGTCTCACTCATTGTTAATAAAATACTACCTTACCCGTCCGAGCAAGCGTGGCGACTGGGGGGCCTGGACAGGGCAAAATGTGAGTCTCCTTCCCCGGATTCTGCATATATATCTAGATGAAACACTGGCCCTCATTAGCTGGGGCGGTTCTGGAGTGGGTATGTCAGTTTCATTTTGCTTTTTAATTAACTACAACGCGAGAAGTGGTACGGGCGTTTAACAATGCTACCATGTACGTATGTGATCGAGGTAACGGTGACAATGCGAGGGCACGCTGGGGGATGCCATTCCATGCCGGGTTTCTCACCAGTCGTCAAGATTTGGACAACGCTGTGCATGTTTCATGCCAGGGAGCTGCCGGCTGCTGCATGTGCAACTGCAGGAGTGATGCCGACGGTTATGAACTGTATAGGTAAGGAGGACAGGTCTTCCAAGCACTGCCCAGTTCCCAGTTCCCAGTTCTCAGCGCGAGTTCCCACCGTCCGCTGTCCAATTTCAAGCTTTGATTGACATTCTTTCGTTCTTGCTACACAATACTGTGGCTGTGTCCTGTCTAGAAACGGGACATATCAAACGACAGGGAGTTATATTGAATGCGGCGCGGTGTTTTCGTTTACTCCGGCGTCATATAATATACGTCGAATACAGATGGAGCTCAAGAGATGATTTTCCATTATTGTCAATAGCATGCGGGCACCAGAGACATCTGATCTATACTTAGATGGCTGACTGACTGGCGCAGCCCCTGGTTTTCGGACTTAAGTTCCGTCGCCAGTACCAGCAGGGATTATTATTGTCGTCCATGGCTGGATCGAACACATACAATTGCCATTGAGGACAACGAGGATGAGACAGGCATTGTTCTTCCTATCCTGAACTTGTGCATTTTCCCATCGTGGCTCGATCTGCAGGTTTCTGGTGAAGAATCACGAGATACAAGCCATGTCCAGTGTAGACTATAGGCTCGTAGCGACAAGAGCCGTGCGTGACTTTGGGGAGCCTTCGAGTTTGGATATTGTAGCCGGGCCGTAAGGTGTTGTCTAGCTCGAGCGATGACACAATGACAGGATAGGAGAGTTAGTTGGCCCAGCCAAACATCATGCGTCAGCGTCACTTTTCGATGGGTTGCTCGCTGCCGCGGAGTCGCTGCCTCACTTCGTTGATAGACGGATGATCTACGTGTCTGGCCCGGTCTGAGCTCGCAAGTGACCTTGTTGTCACAGTGAATATCTGATCGCGCGAGGGTCAGTGCTGAGTGGGGTTTGTGACTGTGGTGTGGACTCCATTCCTTCTGGATGTCAAAGCGCAGAATCTAGACCAGATGGCCGGAACGAAGCTGGAAGAGCTCGAGAGCAACGAGAGTTGCCCGTAGTGACGATAAGGCCTAGCGTCCAGACGTCAGAATCATCAATTAATCTAATCGTCAATTGAGTTCTCGAATCGAAAAGAAAACATACCTACCTACTCGACTCTTCCCTGCCTGCTTCTCTATCAAAAACACATCATGTCCCTGAATCCCAGCGACCCTGGGTTCGCTCAACGTCTCACCTGTTCGATAATCGATACATCCAAAGCATCGTGGGCCTCACTTCACCCCCTACTCAAACTATCATGACGGAAATAAATTCCAGGCCAAACGAAGCCTCGCCTCCCTGGCCATTGCTGCACTCTGCCCGGTACAGCACTCAGCGTGTTGGCCGCACAGACATGCATGCCAAGGTAGGGGGGAAATAAATAAATAAATAAAAAAAAAAAAAAAAAAAAAAAAAAAAAAAAAAAAAAAAGAAGATAATAAAGATAAAACCTGATATTATGATCCGCTAAGAGAACTGTTAATTATAAACTGAAAAATGTCAAATGTCATATAGGACAACTGTATCAGCCACCGCCGCTGCCCACGTAAGCGATAGGTGGCAGGATGTCGAAAAACGGAGCCCTCTATCCAAAGTAGCCGGTGAGGCNAAAAAAAAAAAAAAAAAAAAAAAAAAAAAAAAAAAAAAAAAAAGGGAAAGAAGAGAGAAAAAACCTGATATTATGAGCCGCGACGGGCGCTGTCAATTCCAAGCTGTCAAATGTCAAATGTCGTCCAGGACAACTGTATCAGCCACCGCCGCTGCCCACGTAAGCGATAGGTGGCAGGATGTCGAAAAACGGAGCCCTCTATCCAAAGTAGCCGGTGAGGCTGGGTTTGATGTTGCTGTCGCTTTGCATCAGCGCACGGGGCTTGACGCAAGGGGATGGTGGTCATCGTGAACCCCGAGAGCCCGAAATATTCGCTTGCGACCCCGGGCGTGAGGGAGAGATGGGATCCCGCTCTTTGAGCCAGAGAATCGACGTGAAAGGGAGGGTTTAGGTTTAGTTTGTCCCAGAGGAACGGGTTGGAATGCGTTTTGACTTGCTACAAACTTTGATGGTTCCATTTCCAACAGGCTGGGCCCATTGTGTTGCTTTGCTCTGCTTTGCTTTACTTTGCCTTGCCTGGCATCTCGTGCCTGAGCGCGCCAGAGCCTCCCATCGCTTTGCGTCATCTCCGACCGTGGTTCGTACCAGAGAGGTCCTTAGGTTTTGACCGCTGAACTAAACCTTGCATTATATAGGCTGCTGTCCCGGTATCCTGGGTCAGTGCGCTCAGAGAGTTTGCAGCCGGATGCTGTGTTACACTCCGCAGTTACCGGTCTCCAGGTTATCGGAACGACGCAAGTACTATTGCATCACTATAGAAGGAAAACTTGGTGAATAGGAGAGAGGTATCAATTTGTATTTGCAAAGTGCGCATGCGAGAACCAAGACATATGCGAACTCCGGCGGTATCTATGTAGGAAATGCGAATATCTACACCACACAAACAAAACCAAGTGGGAGGTATGTACGGAGGGTCGTAATTAGGTGAGCTCAATCAGTGGTTAAGAGCTGGTCGATGGGGGATATGGGGCCCATGCCAGGAATAAGACAGTCAGCTACTGAAGGCGAACGACCTCGAACTGGAGGAAAGGGCGCATCTGGCGACCCAATATACCGCAGAAGGCAGTGGAATAAAGTCCATATTCCCCTGAACACTTCTAGTCGGTCCTGCGCATCGAAGAGATTGTACCACCTTGTTCGTCGCACTTTGAGGACGTGCCAGGGGCTGTCCGATGGTGAGTCTGGAGGGACGTCGCTTGTTCCCTTGGTGATGATGTCGAGGTAGCGGCGGTGGACGCGGAGATGGAGGATGGCAACGTGGTGGTTAATTGAGGAGAGCATGTATATCTGTTGACTGTTAGCGGAACCAATAGTGCAACGATAAAGCTGAGGCGGGACGTACATCGTCAAAAGGGCTCTCTTTATCCTTTCCAATCTGGATATACCGCATCCGTCTATCCCACAGACTCGGGCCTGGTTGGACGATCTTCCACTTATCGCTGCTGCTCATTCTTCGAGTCAACGTTGGTCGCCGCAGCCCCGACGGTCTTGAACGTTTGCGCTCGTTGTTGGCCGCTGCTTCTCTTTCCTGCTCGTTTGTGACCCTTACACTGTCACCGATATTATCGTTCGGCGCGCCGCCCCATCGTGGGGTCGCCGTCCACCATTTGCCCTCACCCGGCTTGACCTCGATCTTGCCCTCTCGTGCCCGCTCCTGTGCAGCGAGGAGCATAGACCCGACTTCACGAACGAGGTCGCACGTATCACCCATGCCGAGCCCTGGAGTCTGTTCCGGCGCTCGGAAGACCGTTTCGGGCCGGCACTGAGCGACGAAGATAGGGCCTTCAAGCATCCCGTTCCTAGCAAGCTGCCTGTCTCTTGGCGACCGCGTGGCTAGGAATGTTTGCCGGATGGGGAAGAGCAGCGTGCCCAACGATAGCCGGGGAGGAAGCATCGGGAGGGACGCCTGGCATCCAAAGGGCCAGGCAGCCATCTCGGTTAATGCGCGGACGGCCTCCTCGCGAATATCATCAGGCATATCGCTGCCGGCCCCGATGCGCCGACCCTTATACTTCTTCACCGACTCTGGCTCGCTTGGCTTAGACTCTTGTGTTGGTGCAGCTGAAGCACCGTTCGGTGCGGCGGTATCCACGTCCATGGGAGTGGAGGCTTCTGTAGTGCCATCACCAGTCTTGCTCGGCTCAGGCGACTTCGGCCGCTCATAGTACTCATCCAAACTGTCATCCCAGTATTGTCCCATTCGTTCGAGCGCCGTCCAGAATTTCCTTGTCTGCGTCACCCTTACCCGTTCGCGGCCTGCGCGAGGAGGCAACCTACCGACTTCCCGGAACGCGTCGTCGTTCTCGAAGAGCAGCTCGCGTTCTAAGACATCGTATTTGTCCTTGTGCGGGTACGGGTTCTCGTTATCCATGAAAATCAGAGATCCGTCTGCTGGCATGGGGCGGCCGATGGAGGGGTCAAGAGACTCCGATTCCCAGGGTAGGGGAGCGGCGGTCCTGGCACCATCATGGTGGATGATGGAGGCTACGGGAACGTCTGTTTCAACTTTGAGGTTGAGATCGTTGAATTTATCGGGCGTGATGTCCTGGGGACGGCGGATGGAGGCAAGAACAGTTCGGAAGTTGCGTAACGAGGCTTCAGAGGGGGTGTCGGGGACGTTGGGGAGGTTATATCTGGGGAAGTCCAACGGCGTTGGCGGCGGCGGGGGAGAACGTTCTTTGTCGGTATCTGAGCCGATTGCGGGGAGCCCTGGAGACGGCGGTTAGCATGGGGCAATGAGCTTGGAGTGATTTTCGTCGCCTGGAAATGATCGGAGGCTGATGGCTTGTCTTTATCCCCTCGGGTGTCTTCTGAAGGCTTAAGTTCTGCTGCGCTTAGGCGAAAATGGGGATTCAGCAGCGAGGGGCATGTTCTTGATTCCGTGGCAAGGAGCCTTACCCAGCGTGCCACCCCATCCTCCAAACATGGTGGGATGGTTTCTACTAGTGCTTGATTCTGAATCGAAACTCTTCAATTGCGCAAGGGATTGGAGGCGGCTGTGGAGGAGCAGGATCACATCGGAGGATCACATGCGATTATCTCAGCTGTACCAGGAACCGGAAGTGTGGTTCAGGGGCAAGAGGGGCGAGAAGGAGTGGCAAGGTGTCTCATTCGCATGAAGCGGTGCACGGACACAGTATAAGCAACTGTGAGACAGACTTGGGAGGAAGAATTGAGGTTTCGAGGAGAAGAGGGGAAAGCGTTTGGGAGCCAACTAACACCGGCTCTATCTATGCATAACTAAGTGGAGCGACATGACACAGCGTGTAGCTGTCGCACTAGCCAGGGGCTGTCTCGCTCCCCTTACTGCGCACCCACTGTGTCGTCAGAGGACGCATGGTGACGAGTGCAGAGGTTCTTGTTGACTTGTTGAGCACCTTTCCGACGAGGACTGCAACGAAGATCCATCACGAAGCCTTTGTCTGAACAATGCGAGAAACGGCGCCAACGGTGGAGCCCGGAATCTAAGGCGGAGGCACCCGGGCTGCTGAGTCATGGAGCACGTGATCATAGCCTCATCAGGAAATAAACGGTGGACAACGTGAACGAAGATGGAGAGAATCTCTCGTCTCCATCTCTCTATGACGAAAACGCCTTTATACGCAGTGCCTTGAATTCTGTCCAACGATGGCTGTGTCAATGGAAATTACCGTCTGCCCCCGCCAGCAAGAGCCCGCGAGCGACCCTGGCCAGGCTACTCCAAAAACGGCCAGGTTCGGTTCTCTATAGATTACTAGACCCTGCCCATTGGACGGAATGCGTTTCATATATTCCCCCGTCATGATCCTTTTGCTCAACAACCTGCAATTCTGCGACTTTTCAGGTCAGAGACCCGAAGGAGACTCGGGAGAATTTCCCATGACAGCCGGATTCTGCCTGTCATCGCCCTTTTCGTTCTTCTGCTGGGGTCCATGCGCAATGCCCTCGATGAGGGCTCTTTTCACTCGCCTGCTGCCTCTCCCAGGCAAGGATCATGTCCGACCATTTTGAACTGGCTTTCTCAATGCGTCCCTGCGCAGCTCCTTACGAACTGGCTCTCTAAATTGATGCGTTTTTGGATGTTCTTCGAGGCTGTCACGGCTAGACCCTCTCCCGGCTTTACATACTTTTTTACATTTTCACTTTTTGCGAATCTTCATTAACAACTTTTGCTTGCTTTCACTACACCGTCAATATCTTGCGCGCCGTTAAGGCGGCGCCTACGGCATCCGTTCCTTGCCTTTCACTGTCCTCTCTCAATGTAGCCAGGCCTCGATCTAGCAGAGCATCCGTCTCGACGACATGTCAACAAACCCCTCAATCATCTTCCACCAGGGACTTCGATGCACAAAGGTCTTGCGACAACCAAGAGCAACCGATAGCTCTGGAACCACAACTGAAACAAACCCCCCATCTACTACCAGCGAGCCGTCATCTACTACGGACGCATCTACGGAAGACACAACGTCTCAACACACTCATCATAACCAACACACGTCCAGTGAAAGCACCACGTCTATTACGACCGGGGTAGCAATAACTACGACCACCTCAGACCCGGAGACAGAGTCATTCCTACCAAGCCAAACGACTAGCCAAAAACCAGGGTTGCATCCCTCGGGGCTGGATTCCTCTGTCTCTCACACTACTTTTGCTACCGAGACCCCTACGACACCGCAGTCTACTCCATCCTCCGAACCTATTGGCTTTGAATCTGACAATGAACCGGCCGGTCATCCTCCATACGCCAAAATATTTGGCGCCCTGTTCGGTGTTCTGGGGTTTATAGCGTTGGTCGCAATAATCATACTTTTCTTTCTTCGCCGCCGATCTCGCCGAAAATCAGCCGGGGCACAAGACGACCGCGCCTCTGCAAACTCAAGAACAGGTCTACGACGAGATTTCCGATCTCAAATGTCTTACCTTTCGGGTCCGTCTCCAACGCCCTCGGCTATTCTAAACCCCGGCAATACACAATATGCCCATAACAAGCAGAGTCAAATATCTTCTCGCTACTCCAATTACTCTGACCCATTCTCAGACACGGCAGAGGTCCACGGCGGATTAAACAGCGCTGTCGTGCCTATTATAATACAGGACTCTCCCACAATTCCCAATAATAGTGAAGGCCTTGCGCGACCTGCAGAGCCGTGCGCCACAAATAGGGATTCTGTCCACAGCGGAACAAGCCTGGGAAGCACCCTCGTTCTTCCCAGTCGAAACAGCCTAGGGAGCGATTTCCCATCTAGTCCATCTTTACCGAGGTCACCAGGCAGTGGCCCGGCCACTTCTCAGTTAAGGCCGATTGCGCGGACGGTTAACACGCGGCGCGGCTCGTTTGATTTGGATAGTGCTCAAAATACAATATCTAGGAGGAGCTCGGGGGCCATGCCGAGCGGGTTATTATAACCACCCGCTTAATGCAGCTTTATCTCGGCCTACAATGTACGATAACCTAGAATATATAGCGTTGTTTTACTAAATGTCTATTTTCATTATGCCCTTTTAAGGGCATCACTCTTATACATAGCAGTATCGTCCTTAAAGGGAACATGGTGGCCCACATAGCACCAGATAATATTATGAAGCGGCCTAGTGAGGTAAATCTGATATTGCCGCTCGAATAATTTAAGCTGGATATCGTCCTGTTAAAAAAGCAACCGTACGTAATTGTTGATTCTGTTGTCATAAATTTTTCGTCGACTTCGTCGCGTTGTGTCTTTTGGTAGCAGGACATGCACAAATATATATAGATACTGGCCAGGAAGGGAACTGAGTACAAAGGAGTATAGGAAACCTGATCAGATTTGCTAGACAGAGAGGAAAGGAAGACTGGGGTCAGAGAAGAAGACGAGAGATATATACACACCGAGGGACGGTGAGTGGACAGTAGGACTTTGCTGAACTACGATAGCCAAACACGCATAGAAGAGGGCTCATGGTTAATAGGGATTTTAACCTAGGCTTCGTCTGACAATGGCCGACTAGATGGTTACTTGTATATACTAATCCGATAGGAGTGCTGGGGTTGTTGAATGTCCAAGAAGTGGTAGCTCCCGCGGATAAAGGATGAAGATGGTTACTTACCCCAGACTGCTGATCACAACAAGGTGGGAATACTGTAAGCAGTGAGTACTGACGGAGGTGAAGGTATAGGACCACCAGCATTACGAAGGAGTGGGCTTTAGGAACGTTACGACATTATATTTTGAAGCGTCGGGGGTGGCGGGCAGAAGAAGACAGTAGAATGCAATCAAATCCAAGTTTGTCATATCACACACAAAGCGCCATGCCATTGATTTGGTAAGAAATCCTTGTTCATATTTTTTCTTCCTTTTTTCCTCATTTCCATAACAGCTTCCCTCATTCCTCTTATCCACCTTTCACCAGAGAAAGAGAGAAGTAAGGAAAGAGGTCCTTTTCCCTGTTCCTGAATCCAGTCCCAGGGTATCCCGAGCGAATCGAACCCACCGAGTCAGACCTGGGGTGTGAAAACAAGCGTAGTCGACCTGAAATGATATCTCTTGGGCTGATCGATTCCCCAGTTCAAACATCCGCACCGCCAAAATCCGTCAACGAAGGAAAAAATATCAAAGCATTTACTCCTGAGCATCGCCAACAAGAGCGTTGCGCTTGGCCTCTTGACGCTCCTGTCGTCGCTCACGGAGAGCCTTGTTCTTGGCACGCTTAGCGTCCATCTCTTCCTTGAGGACACGCTCACGGTGTCTCTCAGCCTTGGCCTTTTGGATCTGTAGTGGGAAAAACTTGTCAGCCTTTACATTCCAATAGTGAACCTGGCGGATCAACCAAGCGCGTAATGCACATAGTTTTATCCCGCCAGTATCCGGAGATCCGCTGAACTCACGTGTTCAACCAGGGCACGCTTGTGCTTGAAGGTGTTACCCTTGGACAGGTGGTAAAGCTCGTGGTAGAGGTGCTTGTCGATCTTGCCAGCGGCACGGTAGCGGACGAGGAGACGACGGAGAACACGCATGCGGCGCATCCAGAGGAGGGAGCTGGGCTGGCGAGCCTCCTTGGTACCCTTACGCTTACCCAGGCCGCGGTGACGACCGATACGGCGGGCCAGGTTGAGCTCGCGGGCACGGGAACGGGAGTGCATGGTCACGGGCTTGCGGATGATGAGGCCATCCTTGACGAGCTTGCGAACGGTCTGGCGGGAGTTGGCGTTGGAGATTTCGCTCATCTCATTGGGGTCGAGCCAAATCTTGCGCTTGCCGCAGCCCACCACGGAGGCGGCGAGGCGCTTCTGGGTGCGAAGGTTGACCCTGTTGAGCGAGAAAAACACGCAGTCAGCATGAGGCCTTTCGAGAGATCTCTATCCAGCAACCGGGGATGAAAAAGACGAGGCAACATCGGCTCCAGCTGGGACGGTCCATGGTGGGCAAAACATGACAAAAACATCCATCAGGGAGCAGTATTTCCTCCGCGTAACAGGAATATCGTTTTCGGGAGATGAACTCACATCTTGATGTCGGCGTATCGACGGTCGTTGGCGGATGATGTTCGTTGCACTCAACAGTGGTTTGAATTCCCAAAGTGAGGAGTTTGAGATCCGGGCGGGTGATTAGCTAATCCACTGTGTTCTAAGCGAGGGCATCCACCTTAGGGCTTGTACCCCACGCTAGTCCCGAAACCCCTTCGTCATCATGAGTCTTAGTGACTCAAATGATGGAATGAAGTATCCACGAATTATTTGACGAGGTTATCATTAACAGGCAAGCAATAATCATTTATTGGATTTGATACTGCCATCTAAGATTTTGATTCCCTATGATCTTGTCTGGAACAGTGGCGATAGGGTTGTCGCTGTTAGCCCCATTTACCGACCCCGTGCCCAATGTCGTTATTCCAGTCACGTGGAAGCTTATCAGGAAAGATGATAAGAGTCAACAGCTTAAATTTTTTGATATAGACTTCCCCGGAACACAAGGGTATAGATCTATCTATAACGCATACAAATCGTAGGTCAAGCATAATTGAAAATCATCACTCATCGCCAAATGAACCCTCCTCAAACTCGACCTTTCCAATGCTCCACAGTTCCTTCTCATCGTCCATCTCGTCGTTGGATAGACCAAGGCCGCCCTGTCCGCCTTCGGCCTCCCTCCTCTCACGTGCCTGCGTCGCAAGTCGCATCGCAACTCGCTTGAAGTAATCAGACATGCTGCGCTTGGGCCCAGGTGGTAGTTCAGCACCTGGTCCAGCCATGTACTTGTCAAAGACCGCAGTATCCGAATCCACGACGGAGAATATGGATAGGAAGGCGGCTTCTGCAGCTAGCTTGATGGGGATAACCATATCTCGAACACCTGCAAAGATTGGTGGTGCAAGAAGGGCCAAATGAGGACGTGCCAGCTCTGGGTGGAGTCGACCGACTGTTCGGATCACTACGAGCGCCAGTCGTCGGGTGTCGGATGGTGTGCCTGGCTGAATGCAGGGTGCCAACGCCTCGAAAATAGCCTTGCTGCTTTCGAAGCTGGGTTGCTCCTCAAGTAGAAGGTACTTTCCAGCGGCAAGTACACAGTTGTCGGAGATAAAGGGCTGTTCTCTATTAGCGTGGTCCTTGCGTAGACAATATCATTGTAGGGGGTTTCTTACATCCTTCTGCGTCACGCCCTGGCAGATCAGGTTCTGGGTCTCCGCTGCGAACTGATCAGTCAGGGACGACGGAGATTCAACAAGTAGAGCGTTCAATCCCAGGATTGATGCATGTGAGAAATTGGGCGTGAGAACACGGCTCCTGTGTAACGGCTGATTAGTACTGGCCTTCTGATATGGGGTGGGCTCCGAGCATACTTGATAAGTGGTCCAGCAGTAGCTGGAGGAAGAACCTTGACGAGTGACCCAAGTAACTTCGCATTTGTGATGGCTACGGTATCTGCAGAAGGTTAGTCCACTCCAACCTCAATTTTCAATAGCACATCCAAAGACATACCTGTCTGGTCGCTGGCATCATCGTCGATCAGAGCAAGAAGGGAATTCTTCGAAGCCTCGCTCATGTTTGCGCCAGCCTTGCCTACTACCTCTTGTAGAGCCCTCATCATTGCATTCCGCACCCCAACGTCCGCAGTCTTGGTACCCGTAATAAGTTCTAAATTGTCAATTAGCATCTCATACCTCGGAAATGCGGTAACTGCTTCTTACCTGCAATCAGCGGGTCAACCCGTGGTGTCAGGGTGATGAGGATTCCGAGACCCTTAGCAGCCCTGTTGCGTAAGGTCTCGCTAGTCTGGTCGGCTAAACCACGAGCAAACGTTCTTTGAAGCTGGGGCAGGAAGGGCTTGACAGCTAGAGGGATCTTTTGTAGAAGTTTATTGAGCGTGAAGAAGATAGCACCTGATAAGTCGTTAGCTCCAGTAAGGGTATATAGAGAGAGTGTAATCGCCTACATTTGAGATCCACTGAGCGCTCAGACACGACACGGATGAGTGGACCAGTGATTTGGGTTACAAAGGCCTTCAACGAATCTGCAGCTGTACGGTCGATAAGATCCGCAATCGCAAGAGAGGATTGGGTACGCTGTTCGATACTGCCGTTTAGAAGACCCTGTAGGAAGATCGGCAGAATGGCAGTGATACCCTTCGGCAGGCTAAAACCGGGGAGGTCGGCTCCAGGAACTCCAACACCCTTGAGAATTTGTCTTGTAGGTACGGCCAAAACCTCCATCTCTTCCTTGCGCAGATGTGAGGTAAGTCCGCTAAGGGCCCCCCAGGCAGCCTTGACAACACCCTTGTCAGAGTCATCGAATGAAATCAACAAGACACGAATGAGGTCCTGGTAGTATCTGGAGAAATCAATGTCGGCGTCGGAGAAGAACTTCTTGAGGTGATCGGCGGCATAGGTACGACGACGCTCATCGTCGTGCTTGATCATGGCCAACATCACGCTCATCATAACATTAAGTCCATCAAACTCATCCACGGAAACCAAGATGGTGCTGAATGCGTTATCGAGCTCTTCGCGCTGTTCATCGTCCTTGCATGAGATAATGCTATCCAACAGCGTGTTCAGAATAGTGGGTAGGCGGCGAGCCATTGCAGAACCTGCAACTTCCGCTAGAGATGCCAGAGCTCTGGCGTTGAACGTTGAAACGGGAGATATAAGTAGGGTTGGGATCAGGTTTGGCAGGATAATGTTAGCCCGCGTTTGCTCCGTGAGGAGGGTTAATAGTGCCGACAGTGCTTGCTCCGCGTCTTCGTCATTTCTCAACAAGAGAAGGAGATGGGGTAGAACCTGGTCCACGGCCCTCTTGCCCAGGATCTGCTGCAGGGAATCGAAGGCGTCGGCTGCTGCTTCCCGGACATCTTCATCGAGATCAACCAAAGCCACCCGAACAATGGAAATGAGAATCTTCTCATAATCCTCAAGGGCATCAGGTGAGGAAGAGG